CGGCGTAGGCGTCATAGAATCGTTTAGGTTGGAAAAGACCTTGAAGATCATCAAGTCCAACCGTTAGCCTAACCCTGCCGTCCCACCACTAAACCATGTCCCTAAGCACCTCGTCCGCCCGTCTTTTAGATACCTCCAGGGGTGGGGACTCGACCACTTCCCTGGGCAGCCCCTTCCAATGCTTGGCAACGCTTTCGGTGAAGAAACTTTTCCTAAAGTTCAGCCTAAACCTGCCCTAGCGCAACTTGAGGCCATTTCCCCTCGTCTTATCTCCCGTTACCAGGGAGAAGAGACCGACCCCCACCTCACTACAGCCTCCTGTCAGGCAGTTGTAGAGGGCGATAAGGTCTCCCCTCAGCCTCCTCTTCTCCAGGCTGAACAACCCCTTCTTCATCACAGGGCGGTGCCCAGAGAAGGCCACAGCCCGCATGCGGCTGCTGGTGCCTCAGCTGTGCCCCACGGTGAAGGAGGAGACAAAATAAGGCAATTTGTTAATTCAGTAGAGTCGGGTGAAATGGAAGTGAAAGTGTCTCTCAGCAGCATCCTGGAGGGAGCGCGGTCTGTCACTGTATCATTCCCGGGGCTGGGATACATGAATTGGAAGAAGATAGGAACCCTGCGCAAGATCCCATTTGGGTTGTGGCTTTGTAGTTAAGATCTAGTGCTCTCTTGAGCTGGTAGGTGAGAGCTAGTCTGGGTAGTGTAACTTGAAAATCAGAAGTAGCTTAAGCTGAGTCAGTCCTGGTAAGCTAATACAGAGTTAGCAGAGCACATCCCTGGATGACTATGCTGCTTGGTATTCAAGTATTGCTCAAGTATACGTGACTCTGTGCTACACATCATACACACCTTTATGGAAAAAGAACAGCTCTTCCTCCTGGTGCTTAATTTCACTGTGATGATAAGGTGTCTGCATGGTAGCTTAGCTGCCTCTTTACGTGGTTTCCTGTAGGCAGCACAGGACATTATTCTTATTCTGACAGTACTTAAATGTGCCCGCCAGACCTCCTTTTCTGTCTGCCCTTGCTGAACTTTGTAACATCTGGCCATTTTATGTATGTTTGATTCCTTGAGTAAGTCAAGAAAATCTTGTGATAACTAAGGTCAAATGCACATCTATTTCACACTTTTTGTAGAGCCATGATCTCAGTGTCTCGCGACACAGATCAGCTGTTCACTACAAGCATAGGTTCTAGTTGAATCAGCTAAATTTTACGATGGAAAACTCTTCAATTAAATAAGTTCCCTCTTATTGTCCTTAAGTATGTACATACTGTGGAACATATTGTATGCTTAAGTTGTGCCCCCTGCACCTTACTCTAGCTGGTCTCCCAACAAGTTGGATTATTTTGATTATGTACAGATATCTCTCCTCTCGGATAAAATTTTAGGACTGATACTGTCTTAAGACGTTTTGTAAGTTAGGAGAAAAAGAGATTTGAAAGATGGAAGGTAGGAAGAGATGGACAGTAGTAAGGTTGTGTATTTGCTTTCAGAATAGTTTTGATTGTTGGGCATTTTATACCCATAATTCCTACATCTCATTGTTTAAGAAAAAATTAATATGTTTTTAAAAACCCAACCCTTAAACAAGTATATCAATGAAATCAAGTAGTATTCAATTAACTGAAGAGGCAGGAGTGCCAAGATCAGTATGCGCCTGCGCGTGATTTTTCTCATATTTTCCTTTGCCATCTATGACAAAGCAGAAAATCAAAAATGTATATATGATGTCATCCTTATGAAGTTATGGATTATATGGAATGCATGTTTTCTGAAACATTTAGCAAATGCTGAAGAAACTGTAAATATAGGGGAGCTCTCAAATAGTTCATGTATTCAGAAAAGATGAGGAAATGTTGATTTTTATCTTCTCTTAAGCATACAGCTGGATTTCGAAGTCATATGGCTCTTCTTTCAGGCTGCTTAGGCATGTTTTGGGGGAAAGTAATACCAGTTCAGCCTTTCATTAAGGAAGGAAATTGCAGTTGTTGAGTCCTTAAAATGGTGAATGATGGAATGGATCTCAAAATATCATGCTCAGCATAGAGCATTGTTACAGTTATTGATTGAGCTTGATTTTTTTTTCTATAAAATACATTTCCCTGCTCTATCGTTAGTTTTTTGAAAAATTAATTCAATATTCTAGTTAGTTGTATTTATTTCTTAATTTTCTTAACCATTTATACCATATGTATAATTTAGGGCAATAAGTAGATTAAAAAAATGTTCTGTTTATACTTGGCAGAATCTAATTTTTGAAATATTGATAGAGATTATATAGGCTAGAGACAGCTCCAGAGAAAAGATTAATACAAGACTTCCAATCCATTCTGCCTTTTTCAGGTACTGCATTGACTTTCAGGTATATGGGAAGTCACTGTGGCCCACAGCAACCAGTAGGTAAGCAGTAGAACAAAACTTTACACCACTTTCTGACCGGATTTTTGTCAGTTTCCAGGTTGTTTACTGTTCTTTATTGAGTATTCTAATGAAAAGGAAAAGATATTTAATGCTAGAGTTCCATGTCTTAGAAATGAATGTCAAGAAATGGATGCTTATAGTACCAAACTAAAGCAGGTGTTAGTTATGTTTTAAATATTAGAAATAATGTTTTTGTGACTGTAAGGAGATGTTTATCCTACAAGGGCTGGTTCAAATGGCATCCAGTTGTGTTTATTCATTAACAAAAATACCACATTGGGAGGCGGGGAGGAAAAGGAGGATATTAAAGTTAAAACAGAGGTTTCACATATGTCGTGATCTTCACTGTTAGTGTCACAAATTCATGTGCATGATGTAATTTTTAGTTTAAAGAAAAAATGGTTTTACTATAGTCTCCTTGTTTGCAGTAGGACAAAATGTGAACACAATGTTAATCAGTGTTACAAAATCGATACAGTTATTAGAATCATCTTGTATGGTTCTGTGGCCAGCCTCCTTTAAATAATGACATAAAATTGATTGATTCTGAGAGCATCTGATAATTGTTATTTTAATTTTTGTTCTAGGAAAAAAATATAAATTCAATATGGCACCCATTTTAGATTGGAAGAAGCTTATGAAAGTAGATCCAGATGCTCTGCCTCGTCAAGAGGAACTAGCAGACAGATTGCTGGAGACTGTGTCCAAGGTACTCAAGAACATAAGGATTTTGTTATGCATTCTTCCCTAAGCTGTCTCTGGTCCTTCATATGCATAAATTATTTATTTTGTGGATTTCATTGATATTTGTATAAAAACACTGTTGTCTTTTTCTTTAGGTTGATGGGAAAGACTTAAAAACTGAAACTCCGGAACAACTGATACACCTTTTTAAAATTACTCAGTCACTAATGAAGGTTTGTCTTAATCCTCGCTGTCTACAATTTTGCAGATGCATTTGTTTATTTTTTTGTTTTAATGGAAGCATCATTACTCTTTCTTTTTTTTTTTTTTTTCCTGCATTGAACACACTGGTTACTCCTAAGAGCATATAGATCCTAAATGTGTGCTTGCACCAGAGTATCTGCTTGTAGCTGTTTGAATTAAGGCATATAGCAGTGGGAAGTAAAGTGAATAACATAGTTATATAGTTAAGGAACCTTAGTGTTATAGGTGACAAAATGCAAACGAGTATCTCAAAAATTGGTTAGATGTTGTAAGTTATTGGTAATGATTTTAACTTTAATAAAAGTTTTTGTGGTAGGTTGACGTTTTAGAGTAAATAAAAAAATGTCATCATCAATGAAGAAACACCACCATCCTAAAACTGATTCTATAAATCTTTCATACTTTCTTGTATTTACTCATAAAAGTACTGAAAGAAAAAAATAACAGCAGCATAGGTTAGCACACTGGTTTTAGAGAGGCTTTTTTACTGTTTTTAATTCTCAGAAGTACGCTTTTGAATGTTTAAGTAGCCCTGTAGAATATATTACTAAAGAAGATATTTCAGCAATCTGAACTTCTTAATTGTCAGCATGGGGCAAAATGGGAGTGGTTTAATTTGTTTAAAGAGAGAAAATCAGTGTTCTTTTGTAAATGTTTTTTATCATTTTAAACATGAGGTCCATGGAACAATCTTTTAATTTATGTTAGTAGTAAATACTACTTCTTTGTTTACTATATGTTTTTTTTCCCAGATGAAAGCTCAAGAGGTAGAGCTGGCACTAGAAGAAGTTGAAAAAGCTGGGGAAGAGCAAGCCAAATGTGGTAAGCAAGGCTTTTTATGCTGTTCTTAAGTGATTTGCTAAATGTATTTTTTAGTTGGTTTTTTTTTTTTAAATTTGGGGAACTGAATAAAATACAAGCTTCTCTGAAGTAAATTGCTTCAGTGAAGCCAAATATTTAAAGCCTAAAGTTAACCACTGTTGTTCTATGTACTTTTTATCTTGTTGGGTAATTTGCTATATCTGTTCTATTTTAACAGAAAATCAATTTAAAACAAAGGTGATGAAACTTCAAAATGAATTAGAGGTATGTTTTAAAATTTTGTTAGTTTATAGAGTGCTGTTTGGTGGGGTTTTTAATGACTTTTTTTAGACTTATTTTAATCTAGTAAAGAGACATAATAGCCCTACATTTTAGCTAATACTTTTTATTAGCTTTTTAATATTCACCAGCCTCAGGTTTTCAAACAGCTGTATGTACAATGAATTTTTTTTATATTTGAATAAATCCCCCCCCCTTTTTTTTTTTTTAGACATTTCTGGGTTTTTTTGAAAGAAGCTAGTGAGCCCTTCCTGTTGCTTTTCCCGAACATTAGGCACGTTAGCCTTAGCATCTGCTTTATTGTTTTAGTTCTTTCTATTTTATAGAACTGTACTATATTTATAATGTGATTTTAATGCTCTTAAGATGGCACAAAGATCTGCTGGTGGTCGTGATACTCGGTTTTTGCGTGATGAGATCCGCCGACTGGAAAAGCAATTAGAACAAAAAGAAAGACAGTTAGCAGATACAGAAAAAGAACTGGAAAAAGAGAAGAAAGTGAATGAGCAGGTAAGAAGGACTTCAGCTCGACATCTTTAAAAGCTGTTCTGGCACATCTTTTGAAAAGTTGATGTTCTGAAAAAAACCCTCTGAAATTAAAAAAAACATCACTGATTAAATAGGACTGCTGTGCATTCATTTTCTGTTTTGTTTCTGGGGTTCTTTGTTTTCATAGTTTGTGGTGTTACTGATACATATAAAAGTTTTTCGTCTTGTTCTAGCTTGCTCTTCGAAATGAAGATGCCGAAAATGAAAACATCAAATTAAGGAGAGAGGTTAGTAAAGAATTATTGCTGATTTATAAATATAATATTAGCTTTGTTTATGATCTTTGGTGTGGCATGATGTTTAATTCTGTTTTAGAACATTTCCTGGTTACTGGTACAATGAGAATATGGAATTTTAATCACATTCAGCAAATATGTAGTACATCTGCTCCAATGAAACTTAGTTAATTGAGGCCAGGAGGTGTCTACATTTGAATTTACGTAGTCCTACTGTGCATGGATTATGTCTGCATTTTGTGTTTTGAATATTTAGTATTTTTCTTAAATACTATTGAAAAATAGATTTGATAGTTATTAGACAGGATTCAGTTTATGCTTGCTGCATTTGCTAAGATGAATTGGCTAAGATAAAATTATAAAAAGTGAAAAGGTAATATAACAAATGCGAAGATAGAGTTGACATTCTTTATTACTACAATCTTTTTTTAGTCATTCTTTTTTAGACATTTTTTTCTAGCTGTTTTTAGAAAAAAAAAAAAAGCATGTTTTATAGCATTTAATACCTGCAATCTTGGCCTCTGAGAGGCTAAAACTGACAGCAAAAGTTAAATTCATGCCCTTGGTGGAAACCTTGAGAATCATTCCTCAAAATGCCCTTTTATATATGTGTGTGTATGTAGGTACATGGATGCGGAGGTATATAGGAAACTCTATTTTCTTTTGTCTCTATGTTGATTCCTATTTAGTCTTCCTAGAGCAAAGATAATTTCTAATACTTTTCATGCTTTTGTTCTCTTGGTCTTGTTCTCTCCTTTTTAATCCGAAGAAAAAACTCATAAAGAAAAAGGTGAGGCTTCTAAGTTTTTTAAAAGCAGACTGTAGGAATTTCAATGAGTTTTGACTGTCTTAGCTCTTCGTGTAGCTTGCTAGAAAAGCAATAACTTTGTCTTCAGCTCTTCAAAACAGATTTAAATTTGGATTGTTTTCTGTGCAGAATGAACAATTGCGTCAGGATGTAGTTGACTATCAGAGGCAAATAGATTCTCAAAAAGAAACAAATCTGTTACGAAGAGGCGAGGATTCTGATTACAGATCACAGTTGTCCAAAAAGAACTTTGAGCTTGTCCAGTATTTGGATGAAATTCAGGTAAAATCTATGCATGCTACTAAGTGTTTATTAGACTGTTACTGACAGTAGCGTTTTTCACAATGCTGTCTATTTACAGACAGAGTCATGTGGAGCAAGGGAATTTGTAATGCAGTTGGGTTCTGTAATGCATATACTCTGCATCTGTGAATATGGCAGAGGTAATGAAGTTATTGGTAATCGGAGATGTGTCTTTTATTTGCTGTTAGGATTTGTTGAAATTGTTGATCTAGAAGTGAAATACTGTCTTCTCTGCTAATTTCATGTAAGACTTTCAAGTCTTACCTTTAAGGTAGCTATCAATTAGTGCTTATTCAGGTATTAAGATGTGCACTTTTAAAAAGCAGCTTTTTCTTTAATTTTGCAGAATTTGACTGAAGCTAATGAGAAGTTAGACATTCAAAACCAAGAAATGAGGAAGAATCTTGAGGAATCAGTGCAAGAAATGGAGAAGATGACTGATGAATATAACAGAATGAAACTAATTGTGCAACAATCTGATATGGTTATGGATCAGTTAAGAAAAGAGAAAGAACAGTACAAATTTCAAGTAAGAACTGAGTCATATTATAGAAGAATTTTTTACTGTATTTTCATATTTTAGCTTAAATTAAAAAGATTCAACATATCCAGTCAAAACCACACACTCTACTGAAATAATACTCTCTAAAACTAATGTGATCTTTAAATTTGGTGAAAATTTTAAAACTACTGCAGATCACAAATTTTTTTTGTACAAAATGTCAGTCGTACTCTGCTCTTATGAGTCATGACCTTCCCTTGCTGCTTGTGATGCTAATTTGTTAAATTGTATGTGCTTGATGTTGTGTGTTTGTACATATACATTGGTTAAGCAAAACATTTTTGTGATATGATGTTCATCCAAATGGCATTTCTAGGTTCAGGAGCTTTCAGACCAGCTGAAAGCAAAGAACGAAGAGGATGATCCACTCATGGCAGCTGTAAATGCAAAAGTGGAAGAATGGAAGGTATGTTTTAATACTTTTTTCTTATTTTTAGGATTTTTTTCATGTGTTCTGATGGTTTTTTATCTTCTTTCCAGAAAATCTTAGCTTCAAAAGATGATGAACTCCTAGAGTATCAGCAAATGTTGTTTAACTTGAAAGAGAAAATGAAAATGGCCCAACTTGATGTAGACAGAAACAGCATAATGGCCCTTCAGCAGGTACAGACTATGTGAGAAGTTACAGACATAGAAATTACCATTCACTAAACATGCTAGTGATCAAATAATTATTTAGTCTTCCATAGTTTGCAAATACCAGAATATGTATTACTTATGTTTGAGAATTATGAGACAGGTTGATTCATTCCACTACAAAGTTAGCTTAATAGGCGATGCACAAAGGAAACTTCCCTTGCTCTGTGTATGAACTGAGCTCTTGGTAGTTGGTTCTGTTACTTTCATGTTTATCTTTTCTAATGGTTAGTAGAGTGATTGCTTTAACATCTAAGCATCCATAATTTAATGTTTTTAGTGTTTAAGTGTTTAATTAGTGTTTAATTTTTTTAACTAGTGTTTCATTTTACTGTTTAATTTTTTAGTGTTTAATTTTTTTTAACTAGTGTTTAATTTTCTGTGTTCCTTTGTCTTGTTTGATGCTATACTATTAAGTCTATGGTTCAGCCCATGAATTTAAGTCTCTCTCATATTTATGCATAATTACATAGTTATTTACAATTTTGAATCTTCCTACTTTCTTGAAAAACATAAAAATAAAAAATAAATAACGCAGCCCATTAGGAACCCTGAAATATACATTGTGGAAAGCATACTGTATGATACTATACAGATATGATGACTTCCTGCCTTACTTCAAGTTTTTTAAAAAATTGTATCATGACATTTGTGTTACGTGTTGGGGCCTTGTAGACTGACCAGTATGGTGAGATATATTTATGCAGTCTTCCAAAACTAGGAACAGATAGCTTCCCAGGAGTAAAGAAACCTTAAGTACAAATCAACCTCTGATGATCAGAAGAGGAAGGCAGTTCAAAGTAACTTTGATAAGCAGTTGTAGGGTCTGGTTTTAGCTGACTAGATGGCTGTAGAGGTTGCTTTTTTGGATGATTGTCATTAGCATGACATTTTGAACAGTTTTTTGGAAATACGCATATATTTAAAATAGACACTTGAAAATTAAATCAGGTTACAGCATTGTGTTTGAAGTCAAAATGGACTGAGCTTGTTATGGTTCAGTCTATGTTTACATTTAGAGGGTTATGTTTAGCTCCTTACAACTTTGCTAAGCTCTTTACCTTTAGATTTGAAATGTGGTTATATTTGTCCTCTAAGAAAGCCTGAGCTTTTTTGTTTTCGTAACTTTAGTATAAAGTAAGGTCAGCAACTCTTGAGATTTTTACATTATAATTTCTGTAACTTTTTTCCAAGTCTCTTTTTTGTGTTTTTCCTCTTTTTTTGTTCATCACAGAAAAAATAACATTAAGCTCCCTGATATTTCTAAAGTTCATGTATAAGCACAGAAATAGTATAATATAAATGGAAGTCACTTTCACAGTCTGTGTGTACTTATGGATGTATATGCATGCAAAACAAGATGTGATAGGAATTTTTTAAAGTTGGATGACTTGCTGAAAGGTGGTTTGCAATACAGATGTCATGTATGATGGATTGTTAGTCCTCCCAGTCTTGAACTTGTATCTCTCGGTTCCCACTGGAAATTTTTTATGAGGAAACTGTAAGAAACCTGTATCTTCTAAACATTTTCATCATACATTGGCTAACTCTTAGAAAACTTCCATTTAAAATTGATATACTAAAATACCACTTTTGTTTTTTCTGTGTTTGAATGCTTTATTTTTCCTCTTTCTTTTATTTTTCCTGCTTTGCCTTTATATACCCAACTTCTAGATAATATCTGAACTCTATGTTGTAAGTACAGTATATTTGATGTTCTGTAAAGTGTTTTGTATTAGCTACTTTTAATTTCTTCATTTACTGTGTGGTGTTCTATATTGGTAGCTTGCCTGTCAGTAAAGAAGAATTCTTTAATAAAGAAGTTTCTTTTTTGTGTGTGTGTAGGGTGTGCAAGAGCGAGATGCTCAGATAAGATTGCTTACTGAGCAAGTTGAACAGTATACCAAAGAAATGGAACAAAATGCATTTGTTATTGAGGAATTAAAAAATGATCTCCAAAAAGATAAAGGTAACATGACCATTTTATTTTAATATCTATGGAAAGGAAAATAAGAAACCACAGACTTACAGTGCATTCTTTATTCTCTAGAAATACAGAAAAAATATTTGCAATATTTGAGTAATATTAGCCTCTAATTTTTTTGTTAATTTCTGTTTATTAAATATTTGTGAAGAGTTTAAATTTATGTACAGTACTTCAGTGGGTTTTATGGGTAATACAGTGCCTAATAAAGCTATACTTGGTCTGTAAAGGCTAGAGCATAACTTACAAGGTCTCAGCTCTATCAAGAATTGCAAATGGGTAGTAGCATGCAATTCAGAATAAATTCTGATGTCCTGTACATGCACTTACTTCTTATAAATATTGTTTGAATGAATGATTAGGAAAAAAAACCCCGTCTCATTTGTAGTCTTTTGTAATTACATAATTAAAAAGAGCAGAAAATGAAAATCTCTTTTACAGCATCATCTGAAGTGTTTCTTTCTTGCTTAATGGCTGATAGCAAGAACTCCTAGTTGAACTGTAAACAGAACAAGTTTTTTCTTTCCAGGTCACTCATCTCTTGCTCAGCAGAATCGTATTGGGGATATGCAAGAAAAGTTAAAAATGCTAGAAGAGAGAACTAAGGAGGCTGAGAAATCAGCAGAATTAGCAGAAGCAGATGCTAGAGAAAAGGACAAAGAGCTTATTGAGGCTCTAAAACGAATGAGAGACTATGAACTGGTAAACAATTTATCAGAATGGACAGAGTATTTCATCATATTTTTAGATAATTTTGTCCTGCCATTTTTTCTTGGCTGTGTTCTAATCAGAAATTAAATTAATGACTTCTGATGCTGGTGGTTTGTTTTTTCTTTTCTTTCATAATAACATTTAGTGGTCACTGACTGCACTCCACTTGTTAGCTATACTTAACAATTTTACAGGTTGTCAGTTTTAACATATTCATATAGGCTTCCAAAGGCCATTGAACAGTAATTGAACACTCAAGATATGATTCTTCAAAGGATCATATAGTAAGACGACTCAATTTTGAAATACGCAGAGAATCATCTGTAGTCAAAAGACAGAATTGTAGGTTCTGCTTTTTATTCAATAACTTTTTTCACTAAGCATAGTGCAGAAAAGTGATACAGGTTAAAAAACATTTTTTCTTACCTGTGTAATGATGAAAGATGGATTCGTAATTTATTTTCTTAAATCTTCTGTTGGTTGGGTTTTTACAGGGAATATATGGTTTGGAAGAGGCTGTTGCTGAAATAAAAGATTTAAAAAAGCAAATCAAAATACGCGATCATGAGATTGAAACATTAATTAAGGAAGTCAATAAACTTGAACTTAAAATAAATGATTTTCTTGATGAAAATGAAGAACTTAGAGAGCGCTTAGGTATGCTATATCCATTACATTTTCAATTATTTGTTGTGTAAGAATTGAAATAACATATCATGGAAATTGTTTACCAAGTAACTACTTGGAAATAATTTTGTATATTCTGTTAATATTTGCAAGTAGTTTTAGTTAGTTAGGATAAACTGCATGAATATACATGACTAAACTTGGTTTACGGGTTTCTTTGGCTGAAGAAAGTAGGAGAACAGGTTTTGTCGTGCTTCTTTGGTTTTGATTCCTCTTTGACTGTACACTGCTTAATTAATTTCATAATAGGATATTTGGAAACCATAACACACCGAAGTTGTAGTGCTAGATTGAAAAACACAGAGTAAACTTTGGACAGGCTTATTTTTATGTAGAAGAATCTAAACATAAATATAGTTAATTTTAGGGGACATTTTATTGCATTTTGGTTTTTGAGTAACTTAAGTAAAATCATGCTTTCTTCTGGTATTATTACATGGAGCATAAGATGTGTGTACATATATAGAAATACATGTATTCAACTATCAACATTTTTTTTAATTCTACTTGACTAGATATATTCTGATTTAAATTAACTGCATTCTAATGATTACTAACATTAATGTTCCTCCTTAACGATAATTATACAGCATATACTGTGTTTTAGGTCTTGAGCCAAAGACAATGATTGATTTAAATGAATTCAGAAACAGCAAAGCACTGAAGCAGCAGCAATATAGAGCTGAAAACCAGATTCTTTTGCAAGAGGCAAGTGATAAATCCTATTTTTGTGTAAGAGCTACATAAGAAAAATGTATTTGAACAAAATGAAACACTGATCTGTGAATAATAATATGCAGATTGAAAGACTAGAAGAGGAAAGGATTGAACTGAAAAAACAGGTTCGTAAGTTGGCTCAGGAGAAAGGAAGAAGAGTTGCAACAATAGGTAGGACTTTTTTGTTATAAAATGTCCTTTCAAAAACATGCTGTCTATACTTACTAATATAGCTATGATATATTTACTTATTTGTTTAAATTACAAGGCTACATAAGTTTCATTGAATCTGTAGGAAGAAGTGAGTGGTTTTGTGATTCCATAGTCTTACAGCCCAGTAGCTTTTGACTTATGATGGTTGGTAATGCATCACTGAGAGTTGTGTCATTGGCTTGCAGTTCTTAGATGCAGGATGATCTTGCCATGATTTCCAGTAGATACAGATAATCTATGTGTTTCAAAAATCTTAACATTTCAATTCTGTGCCACCCAGGGAAGCATAATGTGCTCAGATGGGAAGGTTTACAGCTCCTTACTTTGCAGGTAGAAAACTAGAACTCAGATGTACTAAATGGAATATGTTCCTTTGCTTGGAGACCAAATAAAAATTCATAATTTATTACTTGTACATTTACTTGCAATTAGGATTGGAAGCTGGTGATGTGCAGGTAACTGATAGCTTTACTGAAGAGAAGGGAATGAATACGAGGAAGTTGGATTTTTTGAACAGACATGATATTGCTGAAGTAAAAGCAAAGGTAGGTTCATAAAGCAAGTTCATAAACTTTTATTGTATTTCTCTTTCAAAAGAAAAAGAATGTTATTTTATAAATATCTGTTCAAATATTTCTCTAGGTGCTTTTACTAACTGCTTTTTAAAAATAAAAAAAGAAATAATTAGAGTAATTACTATTTTTTTAGAAGACTAATGAATATTTTATATTTTTTGTGAATATAGGCTAGCAGCTTGTGTAACGTGGAAGGGAGAAACACACTTGCAGATAGAGAAGCACCAGTTAGACTTTTGAAGTCAGAGAAAGATATATCTGAAAACACTAAGGCTGTGGGAAATCTACCTAGAAGATCTGCTGGCATCCTTGAGAATTTAGATCACTTGGAAAAAAATAGAAATACTTCTTCCATTCGTTTAGTTTCAAAACATGTGACAGAGTGGCAACTAGTTGATGACAACTATAATTCTGAAACTCTTAGTATAAAAGAGCTTTTCGTATCACCAGAACTACAATTTACACAGGCATCAGGGATAACAGATTATACAGACAATAGAGAGATATCAAAAGACTTAAAATCAGACCACACAGGTTCGTTTTCTGCTTATCAGAGAATGTGTCAGACCTCTGAGGTAAATAACCAGAATTACAGAAACAAACCATCTTTTCAGAATCGAGTGTCCATAACTTCTAATTCAGACCAAACAGGTCAGGAAAATTTTTGCTCAGGACTATATCTCAGCAAAAACTCTCTGATTCCATGTGCATCTGCTCTTGGAAAGCCAGTAACGCACAAAACACAAATAATGACATTGATGGATAAGCAAGACTGTTCGCAAGTAAAGTTTTCTGATTTAACTACCTTTCAAGAACACAGAGAAGGAAAGGAATGCCTAACAGAATTGTTGCAAGTAAAAACTTTGGGAAGTGGACTTGAAAATGGACAATCAGAACACTCAGGTCAGGTAGATCCTGTTGAAAATCTCATAGAGCAATTGAGGAGAGAATTAGCCCTTCTTAGATCACAGGTGAGACACCATTATAGTATGTCTATGTTTATATCTATTGCAGTTATTTAGAAGATAAATTCAAAAAACTGATGTGTTAGTTTACTTTCATCTTTATTAATTAAATCTATAGGATAGTTCTAATAGAAATGGGCATTTTTTCTTCTATTTAAAGTGCCAAGTCATTAGTGTGCAGTTTATTTGTTGACCTATGATTGAAAAATGTAGGCATATATTTTCATTTTGGCTGTAGAAAAAGTTTAAACAGCACCCATGCACACACACATGGATATCTGAGTACAAAGAGAGAACAGTTTTTGTTCTAAGACCTTACACACGTTTGTGTTAACAAAGTACTCATCACTTTTCTTATTAGTGCATACAGCCTTGTGTCTTATACAAATCAATTGTTGCAACTGTATTTTAAACAACATAGTTTGAGGATTATTTTTAAAATTTGTTTTAAATAAATGCAGAGAAATACAGATGGTAATTTACAAGTATTAGTCGAATGAAGTAGGGACTGACTCAGTCCTTTGGTATGATAGATAGAAGATGAGATTTCTGTTAAGAGACGCAGATAGATTGACTAGAGGATATCTTCTACCTGCAGGGAGAACAGGTGGTAAAGTTAGACTTTTGGAATGAGAAAGGCCTTTCCTTCTGGGAAATAGCTAAGAAGTTCCTGAGTTGGTTCTTCCATACTTTTGTCCATTTGCCTGCCGACTGGCAAAGATAATGTATATCTGTTTTCAGAAAAAAAGATTTCTAATGAAAAATTCCATTCTTAATTAAAATGATCTCTAACAATAAAATCTTTTAGATTCTCAAAAGGGTTTTTGAAAACTTTTTATAATCAGTGAAGAACGGGTTGATTTCCGGATGCTTGCTGTCATTTCTTTTATTCACACTATAAATCCTATTAAAAAATTACTCACTGGTACCTTCCTATATTGGTACCTTGAAATGCTGTGTTAGTTTTCTGTATAGTGGAGGACATGGCTTTGGTTGCTTAGAGATACATTTGGGGCATGGATCAAGCCAATCCCTCAGAGTCTCATAGACTTTTGGTCTGTACCAGACTGTTGTTCAAACTGCTGCATGACCCAAGAATACATGTTTCCCTAGATGGTGTTATATGGGGTACACCTCGTGTGATTCTTCCAGTGAATCCTTCTCTGTTGCCGTTGCATTTCAGCCAGGAGATTCATATGTGGAAAGGGAAATTTTCATGAAGGCATACTCCAAATTTGAAAAAAGGCTGGGACTAGAACATTAGATTGCTAAAATTATAATATCTGTATTTTTTGTGTGGGAGAAACCATCTAAGAATGTGATGAGGAAACATCACAGTTATCTTTAACTGAAGTGTTTTGGAACTGATGGCATTTCTGTTGAGACTGTTGAGCTATGTAATTGATCAATGGAAAGTATAAGTCTATATACATCAGGCTTTTTTCAATTGTACAACAGCTTTTCCATGCTACAGGAATATACTTTGCTATTGTGATTTCTCTTAAAATACTGTGTTAGCCAAGCTGTGGAATGAATAATGCCTATTAATTGCATTTTCAGTAGAAAAGAAGTGGGTTTTTTATATTTTGGAAGTCTTGGAAATATAATTTTTTTTTTTTATATAAATGAAGATAGAATCCTATGCTAATAACTAACTGTTGGGGGTTTTTTTAGAATGAGCAGATATCCAAAGATTTGTTCGTCAAAAGTATGCTAAATAGCTATACAGAATTAAGTCTTGAAAGATGCAGGAACCAGGCAGTGCAGGTAGTACAAGGTTTAAAAAAACCAAAACAGGATAAGTATTTATATAAAGTTTATTCATGGTTTAAATAATTTTTTTCCTGATAATTTTGTTGCTGTGAAGATCAGGCTATTTCTTTGATTGTTGCCTTCTGTGTAACACCTCATTTTGATTTACATACAATGTAATTTCACTGTTGAATATATATGGATTAGCAATATTTTCAAGCACTTATTTAACCACAGAGTCTTAATGAATTTCTAATACTAAAATTGCTGAATAACAATTTTTTAGTTGTCTTTGTTCTTTTCTTTAGAATGAGTATCTTGCAAATGAATTAAGTGTGAGAGAGAGAGATTTGGAGAAGAACAGGACTGTAATAGCCAAATTTCAATCTAAATGTAAGTTGCAACCTGTTTTAAAACTAGGGAATATTATCAGGTACTTCCAGATAGTTTGCTTATTTAGTTGTTCTGTTTCTGTGATTGTGACCACAAATATCTGACTTTACAGTTTCTCTTTTAAATGCAGTTTACTTTGGTATCTTTCACAATGATTGAATTTGCTGTGTACATATGCAGTCATTCTGATGTACTTCTGAACTGTGGAAATTATGGTTGTGAACTGGTCCATGAGTGAACACAATGATTACAAAACAATGAATGTAAATGGTATTTATTGAATTGGAATTCTTTGATTCTCATGTAATGACATGTTTTTTTAAATTTTGTGTTTATACTAGTGTATATCTTTGTGTGTGTGTGTGTATAAATACATATATAGTGTTGCTAATTTTAAACTTAAATTAGTGTTAGTACATAAAACACAGTTTATTCATACTAAATACATTAAACTAAGATGTCTCATGTTTTTCCTTCCTGAAACAGACCTAATAAGGGCTTTAAGTCTGTGAGTGATCCCAATTATAACAATTATACAATTTACTCGTGTAATTGTAGCGCTCTTCTGGCTTCAAGGAAGTGTTGGGGAGTTAAACACACCAGCTGCTTATGTATATTTGTATATGTTAGCTGAAGTGCACTGCTTGCAAACTCTGAAATAAAAACAACAGTAATTTCTCTAGGCAAGAATCTTAAAGTTTTACCCAGAGAATGGGAATTCTAAAAATTCTTTTTGACTTTTCAAAATAGACCTGGTGAAACTGCTCAGCAAATGGCTCCAAATTTTGCAGTTCACTGCTGGGTCTTCAGGACAGTTCGCCATATTGTTAAGATGCAGAGAATGTCTTGACAGGTTTGTTGGTTTTTTTGGAAGTTTCCAGCCTTCTTGCTCTGTACTAGAAACTCTGGAATTCCACTGAGAGACTAATGGTGACAGGAAAACTGTATGTCTTGAGAGTCATTATTACAGCCAAATAAATTAAAGGTTCTTTTTTTCCCAGTCTGCAGCAGGAATTCAGGCAATTCCTATACACTTCACTGCTACACCCAAACATTTCCAAGATAGCCACGTTTCTGTACATGTGAAAGCCAGTCAGACCGGCTATTAAAGAAGTGAAAAAGGTGGCAGGAAACATTGAAGACTGGAAGGTTCAATAAAGTCAGCTGTGTTCCCATGAAGTATTTCATTATTGGTTTGTTGGTGTTTCTCAAGCAAAATACACTCTCTGGATGTTCCTAGCAGCTCTACTTTTAACTTCCTAATTGTTTATGTCTATATATAATATGAACATTCATTTTATACATCAAATCAACAAGTATTATGATGAAATGTCCTAGGAAACCTTAACTAATTCTTTCAGTGCTTTTAGACAGATTTACATTTTTTATTACAGTAAAAGAATTATCAGAAGAGAATAAACAACTTGAACAAGGAATGAAAGAAATATTGCAAGCTGTCAAGGAAATGCAGAAGGATCCTAGTGTGAAGGGAGGAGAAACAGCCTTGATAATCCCTAGTCTGGATCGTTTAGTTAATGTAAGCTTGCTTTCTAAAGTATTTTTTAGCTTTATAGAATTTACAGATGCTTTTTTTCCTCCTCAATTATTGGGTTATTGTATAATTAAATAGTAACTTCCTTATACATATACTTCCTTAGTTACAAGAAGGAGTACATAGTGTGATACCTTTTTAAAAATGCAAATTAAAAATATGCAGCAACAAGAGATTGTGAATAAAAATTAAAAAATAAAAACCCAAACCTTCAGCTCTCTTTGGCAAGTCATAAAGCTTAGGTAGATGTTTATTTGCATGTTTTTTATCTCTATGGGACCTACAGGAAATGTTTAAGATAAGTTCTTCGTTCAGACATCTTACCAAAAAACCTAGTGTTTTTACAGGAAAATTTAGCCATTTAAATCACAGTCAGTGGCAAATAGATCATCAGGAAACTGATAAGTAGATTTCAAAACATTAAACTTTCAAGCTTTTTGCTGATTTCATGTAGTCTAAACTTGAGGATTCCAGTTTATTATGAAAAACCAAAGCTTTTCTGTGCTTTTTCTCTGATTTGTTAATTAAATGTTTACTGCATTAGGCAATGGAGTCAAAGAATTCAGAGGGAATCTTTGATGCTAGTGTGCACTTGAAAGCTCAGGTTGACCAGCTTACAGGACGAAATGAAGAATTAAGAAAGGAACTTAAACAGACTCAGAAGGAGGCAACAAATTTCTCAAATCAGCTGGCAAATGCAAATGAAAAGGTATAAAATTTATTTTATACAATTTATTTTGTACTTGAAAAGTGGCTGCTCTGATAATTTAGAACAAAACCGCAGATTCTGTAAGATACTGAATTTAGTTTATGTGAACAGTCTAATTGTACAAATCTTAATTAAATTTATGTATTGCATATACCAATTTATCCGTTTTAAGTTCAAGTCTTACTCTTCCTAATGTTACTTTATCCTTGGAATATCCTATTACATTGAACACCAAGCATGCCTTTTGGGGAGAGCTGTGTCAAAAAAAGCTCACAGATTTCTTTCTTCAAAAAACTAGTAGTCTTGCATTTGTTATGTGTAAATAAGTAATAGAGATTAAGTGTTCTAAAATGATAAATCATTCTTTAAAATCCCGTATCTTGTTTTGAGTTGTACAATTGATTCTGTGGAATGCTTCTTCCAGGGCAGGAATGAGGAATGGAATATTATCTTAAGCCAAATTTAAATTTGCCTTTTAGAACAGCTTTGGTGATGTAAATAGATTTCCTGGTAACTAATATTCTAGAATAGTGGTTTATGTACTGTTAGAATAGAGAACCAGAGAGCTTTTAAGAAGTTAAATGAAAAGGCAAAGATAAACCATCAAATAACCACTGCAATAATTCTATCCAAAGCTTCATCTTTTTAAAAGGACTATAGGTGCACTGTGTTTTAAACAATTTGGAATAAAACTGTGGTGAATCCTCAGATATGAGAAGCTGCCCTGATTGCTGCAGTAATTTGATAAATTTGGCTTAAGATATTATGCACTTAATAACTTATGGAATCACAGCATTTTTAAAAGGTTACTTTAAAGAGTGTCTGAACGCTTTAGAATATAAGTGGAAGTGAATTAGGTTGTTAATAACAGCTGCTGTAGCACAGCCAAGCAATATATTTTCCACCAGTGATTTTTTTTTTAATTGAATAGCAAGAGCTGCTTCTCTATGGTTTTGCTTCTTTTCTTTTGGTTTTGCTTCTTTTCTTTAGATTGCACAACTGAAAAATGAAATTTCCTTATTACGTCAGTCAGAAGATGCCAATATTGTCTTCCGAACAGTGAATCTTCCAGAAGGAATGACTCCTTCAAGTGTTAATATGATTAATTCTCTGAATGAATATTTAATACGTCTTATACAGGTAACTCATGTACTCCTTGATATCAAGAATATTTGTAACATATAGTTAATTCCTCCAAAATCTAGTACCATGCCATGTGTGTACATGGGAGAAGTCTCTAAAGTTATTTTGAAGTTCTGACATCCAGTAAACTCTTTGGGCTATTTTGTTTTTTAAAAGCTGTAAGTATTTTCCTGTGTTGTAAACCTGGAAGGTAGTACTTCATTAAATTTTTGACAGCAATTCAGATTTTTTTATTTTAAATCTGAATTTTGATGTAAATATTTGCCCACTCTTCCTTCTACTACTGCAGTTGCACTCTCTCTGTGAGAAATTCTCTCTTACTGCTGTCTGGATCCCATACCTGAGTCTGCATGTGCAAATCCTACTCTGAACAGTTTTTCTCTATACAGCAAAGGTCTCTTTTTATTTACCATATGAATTTTCATTCCATTATTTGTCAAAAATATGTCAACATTTGTAAAAAGAAGTGTAAATACATTGAAACCAAAGCCAATGATTACCATGGGAAGCATAGCAGATAAGCATATATTAAAGAAGAACTGGCGCTTTGATAATTGGATTAAGAAGAACTTACCTTTTTGTTTTTATTAAATTATTTTGTTCTGTCTTTGATCTGTCCTGTCTTGTTGATTAGAGCATATTTTCAACTCATATGAATATAAAGTAGAAGAGTCTTTGGGAACATGAGAAGAAAACATTGCTTTACAGTTGGACATTCTTTGTGGGCTATCAACACGTCATGATGTTTTGAACTTTGACGGCCTTAATCCACAGCGCAATTATGCACTATTGCACACCTATTAATGTGAATGCCAAAGTTTTTTGGACATTTTTTCATCTGTTGCTTCTAAAGAAAATACACATTTCATATCTGCAGTTGGTACAGTTCATGACAGATGCTTCTGTCATGAAAAACACAAGAGAGGACTGGCATCTTGATTAATCCTTTCACATTTAAAACATATTAATCACTTAAATATTTTTATTTGGAAAATAATTATTAGGAACTGGAAAATAAAGAAGAGTTACTTAAACAACTAGAAGATGCAGTAGAGGACTACAAGCGAAAATTTGCAGTAATTCGTCATCAGCAAGGCTTGCTGTATAAAGAATATCAAAGGTATTGTTCTTTTTTCTGGATTACAAAAGTTCAACTACCTAAATGTTTAATAATTTTGAATACAAGACTTGCTGCTGTGTTGAAGTAGTTCTTTGGCTAATGTCATAAATGCTGCTGCTCTTGGATATGGACTCCATATATGAAAATTTAGTCCTATAAAGATTCAAAAAACTCTTGCAAAAACATTTTCTGTTGGCCTCTTTTCATATTGCATACTTTATAATAAGGATTGCATTGTGCTTTCCACATCCAATATCTTGTATGTTATTAGAACCTGATATTATGGACTCTTCAGTCCCATTTTCTTTTGCTTTCAAGTGTGGGTCCTAATAGTCTTTCTGAGGAGAAAAAAAAAGAAAACAGTTATCCATATATAGTCAGAGATCTCTGTTTCAAAATTTCAGATTGTCAGGACTTCAGAGTTGGTTTTATTCCAGACTCCTAGTTCCTTTATATGCTTCATTGAATCTAATTTCTATAAATTTCTTGTAATGGTCAAAAAAAGGAATTTCATCTGTTGCGAGTTCATTGGAATGAACAGTAACTGGATGGCTTTCGGAATAAGGGTGTTTTATCTTTTAGGAGCTTCTGTATGTTCTTTGAACCAGGTAAGACTTCCCAGATAACATTATCTCTGAGGCATTAAAGCTATAGCTTTTTGAAAATATTAAAAGCCGTAATATACTGCTGCATCTACTACTAGATCAGGTATCTCCAGTGACAGGGATGATATGATGATTCAAGGCTCCTTCTCCAAACCTGTTACAGATTGAAGTTAGGGGAGGATATTCTTTGACTTGGCATCCTATAAAAGCTCACTTCCAGAGCATTTTCTTTCTTTTTCCTCCATTTTCTTCCATTATGGAAGAAACTAAGAGATCTTTGAAGAGAAAATATTACTTCTGAAATACCCTTGACTATTTGTTTAAATTAGCCTGAACTATCCTATACCATCTATAAGAACTTCCTTATTAGAAATATATAAACAGTTCATAGAGCTTTTGTTTCCAAATAACTACATAAAAGTGGATAGAGGAGAGTAGTTTGGGCTAAAGCAAAGCTGAATATTTTTATGTTTTTGTTTGTTTTTCACTGAAATAGAAAAACAAGGGTGGGAAATTATGTCCTTTTTGCATCTGAAATAAAATTAATATAATATAAGGAAAAATTTGCAAAACCATTGAAAAAAATGAGTTAATATTACAGCCATTGCCTGCCCTTTTGTTTAAAAGCCTGACCTCTAATGCAGAAGTTGGATATGGGAAACCAAGTTTAATTCTGTCCACTTCCTGAGGGAAATCTGAACCAACATCTTTTAAAGAAAAAGCCAACTTCTGTGCTGTGGGGAATTCTCAGAGGATGAGTGATAAAAATAATCTTTTCCTTATGATACTGTACTGTTCTGCATGATTAATTAAAAATACTTCAAAATCAACGTAGGTATTCTGTCTCTCAGGAACTGCAGAAGCCTTGCTCCCCTTGCAAGTTGTCTCTCTTAGCTAATGAATGTTCAAGTGCTTCATGCAAAGGAAACAGTTACGGAAAGAGTCATCAATTATTTGCCAAACCATTTTATCTAGCTGTAAATCTTATCAGCCAAATTATTGGACACAATTGTGAATACCTGCTGAAATCTGTTGGGCCTAATCTGCTTCAAAAACACAAAGGCTCATTTCCAGGCTCACAGCGTGATAAGTGCCAGTACTATGATTTTTGTCTCCCTTCCTATAAAAGAGAGACCTGGAGTTTCTAGAAAGGTACTTAAAGTGGAAATGTTTTTATTTGCAAAGATTTAAACTTTGCCTTTGTTTATGAAGACATGTGCAAGAAAGTAATTAATTTGAAATACAAGTGTGTAAAGCAGATTAAATCCCATGTGTGTATATTTGGGGGGAGCAAAGCATTCTTTATCCCTTCACTATAGTAATCATGTAAAGAAGAAGTAAGACAGTTTAACTTAAGAATTATTTTCATCATTATAACCAGCTGCAACCTAAACGGAGGGGATAGTTTTTCAGTAATCTATCTACAATTTATAATGCTGTTTTCAAATTAAGTTACTGCTGAAAATAAGTATTGTGGTTTGCAATATTTCAGGGTTGCTGTTTTAGTTTTAAAAATCATCAAGTCATCAAGTCTCCCATCATTCTAAATGAAAATATTTAATTATTGTTTTAGTCAAAAGGAAAGCTGGCAGAAAGAATCAGAAGGTATGAAAGAGGAAAAGAAAAAGCTAGAAGAGCAAAAAGAACAGGATGCTACAAAAATAAAGGCATATTCTGTAAGTAATTTTGTTGCTTTCATTTTTCAAAAAGTTTTTAATACATAGAGCAGAGGTTTTAATACAATACGGTAATTTGTTCAATGGGGAAAATGTTGCAGGGAAAAACTGCTCGATTCAAATCAAATGAGAAGGGAAGTGGTTATTGATTTATTAGTGGGATATAATTAACCAGCCATCAGTGAACTATACATTCAGAATCAGTATCAACAATACAATAGGTAAATCACAATATTAAGGCACATACAAGAAGTTACTGTAGATCTAAAAATCTCTATGCACCATTCAGGAATTAATCCCAAATATTTCTCATCCCGCACATCCACATTCACACAGTATATTCACTCCCTGTCCCCTTCAGGTTAGCAGCACGCACACGCTTTCCTGAGAGTGCAAGTTCACTGTGTACACACACCTCTTGTGTGTGCCCCAGGGTGCTGTGTACATGTGGGGGTGCTCTGGTGTTATGTGTACCTATGCATCTCCCTGCAGTCTGCTAATCCCTGCACTGGTGAGAAATCACCCCAGGAGGTCACATACACACACACGAGGTGTGGGTCCCTACTTGTTCTGCTTGGTACCACCAGTCCTCCTCGGCTGGAGTGTCGAGGCTCATGGTGTCCAGCAGTGAGAAAGTGCTCACATCTGCACACAGGATGCAGGGACAGTGGGGAAACTTCTGAAGCTGAAGTAGATTGTGAGTGCTGCATTATAACTCTGCCCCCACTGTTAGAAGTCTTCATGCTTCTTCTATACTCATTTTCAAGCTGAGTACTTCTTTATTTCAAGTCTCTAATTTTATGGTTACTGTTCAATCTGGTTGACGGTCATCTGCCTCTTTAACACTATCAGTTTTAAGCAAATGCCCTCTCAGTCTCAGGTATTCTGTTCACACACGCTACACTCACACTGCTCTGTCAAGAGCAGTTGCTTGCTCTTAAAATCTTAAGAAAAACATGCTTCTTGATCAGAAAGGCCAAATCTTTACCAGTTGTCATAGAACTAAATTTTTTTCTCAGCTTCAGGCTTCCAGGACTCAGGAAGCCTTATTCACTCATAGGAGCCTGGGATTTTACAGCTCCAATTTCTACTCCCTGTCTCCTTGGCAAGCTGATATGTGTGACAGCAAAGCTAAAGCTCATGTGCCTTGTGTGATGTGAGTCACTGTAGTTCTCTCACTGCCCTGTCCACCCCCTCCACCTCAGATTTATACATGCATGCAAACACATGTGTGCACACACACATACAAACACACACGTGTTTCCATAGGAGGGGTCCTGTGGTTACTTTACCAAGTCTGGTCTGGTCATCAAAGTAGGACGTTATTAGTGTTTGTTAGGAACCATAGGAATTCTATTTGGTTTAGAAAATTGTTCAAATATATTTGTTTTGATTCTAGTAAGGGTGGGGGAAGACAGATGACAATGTATTCAGACAATTATTTTTGTTCTAAATTTTGAAAATGTCAGCATTAACTAAAACTCCAGTTAGTCAGTCAGATGTATTTAGCTTCTATTCCTCAGAAACTAATTACTTCGAATATTTAAATGTTTATTTTCTTGTAATAGATTATTGTGTGCTTATGCATGTTGTGTGTATATGTTTTATTAGTCAAAAGAAATTATGTCAGAAAAATTAACAGATTTTTTACACCTAGATTAAAAAATGTACAAGAAAGCTTGTCTATGTAGTTGAGTTTTACCATATTTCTACACAAAAGTCTTGTTAAAAAAATTATTTTACAGAATTTACTCAGTGCACTTCAGCTGGATCCTGATGAAACAAAAAAAGTACTTGCAGAAAATAATAGAAAAATAACTGTTTTACGAGTTAATGAAAGGTCACTAACAAGGCAGTATACCACTTTGCTTGAAACGGAACGGCATCTTAGAAAAGAAAATGAGAAACTGAAGGGTGAAATAACACATATGGAGACTGCAGTTGTAGGGAAGATTGGAAACTTGCAACGATTCAAGGTATAGTGTATAGTAATGATAGTACACATTTTTATTTTTACAATTTGGCAATAAATACACTTTTTTTTAAGTGGAGGCAGTACTAGGTTTTTGAATGCATTACCCAAATGCTTGTTAAATGCTGTTATAAATTTTGTCAAAACATATTTGCATTTAAATAAGCATCCTAATATGAAACCTGTCAGTTTTCCCCTTCTGAAGTTGCTTCAACAAGTTCTTTTTATTGAACGTGTCATGTGAAACCAAATCTTACTTTTTGGCCTTGCAGGTTGCTAGGGCCTGTATCAACTCATCTTTACAAAATATGGTTATGACAGTGCCTAATGACTGAGATTGATAAAATTACCCAGAGAGCTGGAATACCAGAGAAATTTTATCAATGTTTATTGCAAGCAATTTATAGAGATGGACAATAATTTAGTGAAATAAACCACTATCATGTTCTAAAACATTATATTAAGAGGTATTCTTTGCCTGTGGGGAAGTTTTATTTTTTTATTTAAAGATCTAGCAGACCTTAGTAACCCATTGTGTCGATTGCTTTCATAGGAGATGGCTAGCTTTAAGATTGCAGCTCTGCAAAAAGCGTTGGATGGTAGTGTGCCGTTGTCTGAGCTAGAACTGGCTAATAAGCAGTATAACGCATTAACTGCTAAATACAGAGATATGTTACAAAAAGATAACTTGCTCGTCCAACGGACAACAAACATGGAACACATGGAGGTAATATTTGCATTATGTTTGAATCCTAAGGGAAAAAGCCTCTTGATACATTTGTTCTGCATTGGTTTTTGTTCTCACTTAATAGAAAGATAGAACAGAAGTTTCAACACTAGAACTGCTGATTATAACAGTTCCATAGTGGGTATTGAAATGTTGGAGCCAGTCTTACTGTTGCTATCGAATTTTCATTTTCTTACTTGGAATTTTTCAGTGGATTAACTAACATACAGGAAGTCCCAGATTTTATTTCAATGGTCATACATAAAAACATTTTGTTTAATTGTTTTGGTGGTTTTGTTTGGTTGGGTTTTTTCTTTATCTGTTTGCTTCTTAAGTTAAGCTCTGGGTACGTTCCCTCACAAAGTTTAGTTCTTTGATTACCAAAACAAGTCTAGCAGAAGGAATATTTGCTATCATCTTCAGTTTTGGAGGTCATAAAGAAAGTAGAATGAGTGTAAACACTTTCAAAGTTTTCTTTCAAAGTAAGTACTCTTACTAATTCCTGACTTACAAGAATGAAATGTTCAGTTCCAAAAGGCAGTAAACCTTTGAAATTTTACTTCCATAAAAAAAGTAAATAGCCAAAGATTGTTCACAGTGTGTTTGCAAATGTCATAGGGACTGCAAATATGTAACTATTCCTTTGAACTTTTATTCTCAAATAGAAGGGAGCTTCTTTTCAAGAACTGTGAAGCTGGCTCCAAAGATACGTTGCTACCTCCCACTTTTCATTCACATCAGAAATAATAGTCAAAAAAAGTAGTAGTTTAACTAATAGTTAAAACTCACGTCATTTTCTTATCTGTTGATTTGCTGTGGTTGGCAAGGGTTAAATACATGTGGTGGGTAAACTCGCTGAACTATTAAATCTGTCTGCTTGGGATCAAGTAGGTGTATTTGTGCTAGTTAAAGAATGAATGATTCCATATCTATTTTATGAGATTTTGTGTGTATAAAAACCTGCCTTGCCTATTTCAGTAATTTCACAGAGCTATAGAATCATTTATCAAGAGCAAACTTAAAATGTGTTTAGAAAACTGTGAAATGTAAATTTAGAAAATTTAGAAATGTGAAGTATTCAATTTGTTTTACTGGTTAATATGGAAATTTGTGTTTCTACTGGAGTGAAGGAATGTTTACAAAACTACTGTTTGGCATCATGTTAGATGCCTAAAAGAGCTAAAAGAAGCATATGATCTGTCTCAAATGTGTATTTATGTGCAAGATGAAATATCCTGTGTGGGATGAAATATCCTTCAGAAGTACTTCTTTCTTTTCCACTGTTAATGGGGCGTTTAGTGTGACAAATGTAGAATTCTTCATCTAATTCTAGACACTGGGAATCACAGTCACTGGTGATAATTACTCACCATAATACTAGTTGACAGTAGGATACAGCATAGAGAGCAAAGCCATTTTTACACTTGGGAGGAAACGTATGCTCTTCTGTTGCCATATATATGTAGATTTAAATTAACACATAACCTATGCATTGTGCATAGGTTATGTGTTAATTTAAAAGATTTTATAGGTACTAAACATCAAGTCTGCTAGAGGTAAATAGTTTGTTGTTACGTTGCAACCTTTTTGTCATACAGCGTGAGAATGAATCCTTGAAAGCACAGATAAATTTATTGAATAAGGAACTGGAGATCACAAAAGAGAAACTTCACACTGTGGAACAGGCTTGGGAACAGATGACTAAACTGGGCAAGTATGAAAGTTATATTGCAACATTAAAAATCAAATGGTATGTCCTGTGTAAAAGTAATATTTTAAAACATTTTAAAATTGATGTATCTTAAAACAACAACAACAAAGTCAAAACTATTTTGTATCTTTCATCAATGGTCTTAATTGTTGTTGTGAATTTGTTTGTTTGTTTGTTTGTTTCATTTTACTCATCTATTTGACCAAAACCGAGTTTGGCATGGACTTTTCTTGGGTTACTGGGTCAAGGGTTTAAAAGCTGGAACTTGTAAAATGTCACCTGATTTTTTTTTTTATTTTTTTTTTTAATAAGGTGCAAGATGTTCTAACTTGACTGTCAGTCAAAGTCCTTCATAGGCTGTCAGGCTTTTTCCTGGCTTCATGCTCTGAAAGAAAGTATTTTCTCTCTATAGCTGGGGCTTCTTTGTGTACAGTTTACATTCCCATTATTCAAGAAGAACTCATCCATATCTATTTCTTTTACAGATTTTAAATTAAATTTGCTGAAGATTTACCAGCTTAATTAAGGATAAAGTGAAAGGCTACACTGAAAATAGTTATCAATCTTAATAAACATGGTTGCAGATATACCTATTTATAATTTATAATAATACATTATTCAAATATATACCTTTCAAACATGGAGTAAGGCAAGATAACTAAGCCTGCAGTTTAAAAAAATAATACAGGTGTTTTGATAAAGTTTATCTGACAGAGATAAAGCAAAACTCATGTTCTTTTTCATGGTGCAAATAATTTTCATAGTTGAATCAGCTTGTGTATTCCCTAATTTCTACATTTTTTAATGTAGGGGATGACAATGCCATGGACAAGGCCACAAAAGCAATAACCAACAGTGAGATTTTGTCCATTTCTAAGAAAATCACAATGTTGGAAATGAAGGAACTAAATGAAAGACAGAGAGCAGAACATTCTCAACGAATGTATGAACATTTAAGGAACACTGTAAAGCAAATAGAAGAACGTAATTTTGAATTGGAAACAAAATTTGCTGAGGTAAGTCTGCTGAGGTTTAACAACATAATCTGACAGTTTACAAGCATATTTTTGAGCTTTTCAAAAAAGATTAATCTATTTTGTATCACAACTGGCAAATAAACTTGTGGTGCAAAATACAGCTGCCTTTAAGAGCTGCAATTTTGCACGCACAGGACATTTGTAAAAAAATATAAATAATTAATTTGTTAGTAGTTTATTTCAAATATTAGTTAATCTCTGTAAAACACATGATGAGCATCTTGACAGAAATGTTGCTAGGTTTTCAGCAGACTTCTAGAAAAAAGTACGTTCTTGATGTGTTATTTCTTCTGTCTAATTCATATGATCCCTTTTCTGCTAATTTTTCCTCAATTACCAATGATTCAAAAATGATAGACCTTTATATCCCTTTTGCAAATGATAGTGTCATGATTCTGTTGTAGACTGGCTATGTCCTCTGTCACGTGCCAAACATTTATAGCACAAGAATAGAAGAGAAGTCATGTGCCATTGAAGCTGATGATCCTTAATGCCAAACATTTATAGCACAAGAATAGAAGTCATGTGCCATTGAAGCTGATGATCCTTAGTATTCCTGTCATATCAGTCTTAATCTTGTTAGATTTCTTTGTTGCCACTAATCATATTTGAAGTTTGTTCCATAAATTCAATATTTAATAGTATGAGACTTTATTATAATTTCCGGTCTAAATTTATTTATAGGCAGTTGTACATACTTGTCCTTGTGCCAGTGTTGGCCTATAATTTATACAAAGAAAGAAAATAGTTATGTTGACAGGAATGTTGATAGATTGTATTCATTCCCCCCCCGCCCCGCCTTGTGCTTTGCTAGACTTTAGCCTAGCTGGTTTAGATTGCTGTTATCTGGACTCCCCATTTCTCTGTTGTTTTAGTAGTGTTTGTTACACTGTTTTGATTTGAATTAATTTGGGACATGGAGTAACTGAAAGTTTATAAAGCTTTTTAGCAGCAGTATTGTTAAAGCCCTTTCTGATGGCATGACTTCATTTTTTTCATTAAGAAATACCTCAGGTGATGCACCCTAGGATCATATTTCCCTTTTTCTCTTTTGCATATATTGTTACCTGTTTTACGATACATTTAGGTCTGCTGGTCTTCCTTCATTTTGAGTTGATGAACCTTTAATGCCACATTTTTTTCTTATTAGTTTGTCTGTGCATCCCTTTTTTCCTCATTTCTGTAGCTCCAGGACATATATTTTCTGTTTCATATACTCCTGTTGTCAGTACCTCCTAATCTGGCATCACTTGTTTGAGAAGTTTTTGGGGTTTTTTTGAAAGGAAGTTGTAAAGTGGTATCAGTTTAAGAACTGATAACGAGATGTCTGCTAGACAGCTCCTTTTAAACTCGTAAATCTACTTCAACATGACTGTTAGTACTGCCTCAAATATTTGAATTGCAGATAATAAGATACACCACACTTTTTTTGTTTCTTTAGGAAATCAGTTATTTTATTAAGGAGTGGTAACACATTAATCTGCCATAACTGTATTTACTAAATTAATTCCTGAGGCTTCTCTGTGTTGCCTAATGCTTTTCAGATAGCTGTCTTTTCTTAATGCTCTTTGGCTTTAATTGAGACATTGATTACTTGGTATTTAATAATGCACTTGAAAAATCAGGCTGCTTGAAAGAATATTACTTAATTTTGAAAGTTCTGTTTAGAAAGAACAAAAGAACTACACTGTCATAAGTCTTGGCACTTATAACCTGTACTTGTGTTACCAATCCCAATATACTAGACAGTATATAAATATAAAAGTAAGACTTCTCATCTACTAAAGAATTTACAGTCTTTTTTTTTTTCATATTTTGGTTTAAGAGCAAGTTACTGTAGGAGTAGTTTTAAGAAAATTCACTAACAAAAAATGTGTTTAATTTAGAATTCTGTTCAGTGCCAATCTGTGTATCTGTTCCTATCTGTTCCTATCTGTTCCAGTGCTGCAAACAAAAAGACATTTAAGCAGAGAGGAAAGGAAATTGATTTTTGAACACAGCTGAACGGTGTTTTGTAATGACTAAAAAAGAAAATAAACTTTTGGCACTGCTTTTTCTTTTCAAAGTTGGGAGCAGTTGTGTGCTTAGGATACCATTTTATTTATTTCTGGTTTTGTGGTTTTTTTAAGCTCACCAAAATCAACCTTGAGGCACAGAAAGTGGAACAGGAATTAAGAGATGAACTGTCAAAGAGTGTAACTAAGGCAGTAAGTGATGCAGATAGACGACAAATCATGGACCTAGAGAAGCGTGAGATGGAGCTCAAGACTGAAGTATCAAAGTAAGTATTGAAGTAACTTCTCAAATGCATGTTTAGAAGCATGCAAAAATTTAGGCTATATACGGTATATATGTATTATGACCAGATAATTTTCAGTGCCTAATTTTTTTGGCATTTATATATGCCAAATTTGGAATTGAAAATGAAACTTTTAAACTATAAAGAAAATAATTTGCTTCATTTTGATTTGAACAAGGAATTAAGTGCTGGCCTGGATAGACATGGGTAAGTGTGCTTTTAGATATTTATTACTACTATTTTTAAACTAATTAATTAAGGTTTATTTTGTTTCTATGCCACAACCTACCTTAAATGTATGAAAATCTCATAAAAGAAATGGAAAGCAATTCTAACTTTCACAGAGTCATAGGTATCTTGAATATTAAACTGCAGTGGTGGAGGAGGTTGCCATTTACTTAAAAGAGATTAACTTTGTTCACATAAATTGAAAAACTGACCTTTTAGATATGTTGTTATGGGCATTTGTCTTTGAGTAAATAATGTAATCCTGTTATATTCATGAAACAGCTAAGTCTGTGGGGGTATTTGCAGTGATTTTTGACACTGAAAATGAGTGATTAGACTTGGGGAAGCAGAGAAAGGAATTGAAAATGAAACTTTTTGAGCATTTATGTCCTGAAGTGGAAGAGAAATAGAGGACAGAGATGCTCAGTTCAGGTAAAAACCATGGCATTGTTTTCCTGGAGTAGTTTACTGCTAGCAAACTTCTGTATAACTTACAGGAAAATGTCCTGTGAAAAAGTTGAGAGGTAGGATTTTCATAAGAAGAGCTCTGAGTAGTAGAGAAGAGTATGCTGAAAAGCACAAAGTCATCAAATGTTTTGATATGAGGAAACATACTAAGCAACTTTTCTTAGCATCTTTTATGTAGAAAAACTTAATAGGTTATTCATTGTGGTTTCAAGTGACATAATACTCTTGGTTTCCCTGCAAGGTTAAGAGAACTGTCTGATGTAGCAAAAATGCAAGTTGAAGCTCTGGAGGCACGCCAGCAATACAGAGATAAAGAAGTAGAATCTCTTAGAACGCAAATTTTAGACTATCAGGTAAAATTCAACCTTTATTAACACTGCAGTTTGGATTTTTTTTTCCTGGAGTGGTAAGAAATGTAGTAATTTTACAGTGAATTAGGAAACAGCAAAAGCATTTCAGAAGGGTCTTAGCAATCTGGTCCTTGTAGTGGCCATAACCTTTCAAGAGTTCTACATCACATTTATTTTTCCCATCTCCATTTTTTCCTTTTCTAGCTGTACAGCTATTACAAATCCTGAGGTTTTTTCCATGTTCTTTAGGTAAAAGTTATTCCAATATGATTAATAGCTCATGGTCAATATTTAAATATAATACCAGAAGAGTTTGATCGTTTTTTACAAGACAAGCAATGACTTGTAAATCTCAAAGATTTGCAGTAGGCATTATATTGCTTTGTTATTAACTGAAACAATTTCTTGGGATTTATTTTCATGTTCTAGAATGGTTTGAATCCCTAAATACAACACTTCTTTCAGCTTTTACGTTACCATATTATCTAAGTTTAGGTATACCTTTCTTCCTCATTTCCTGGTATTTTGGAAAGATACAATTTTTAAGATCAGTATCTGAAAATGTGTACTTCTAAAATGTGACTGTAGAAACAATAGTGGAAAAATAACAAGCTGGTTTTAGAGGCTAATTCTTGCTTTTATCTATGGAATAAAATACATGCAACATATAAAATACAAAAACATAATAGCTTGTTTATATTTATGTATACACTGCATTAACATTCAAAATGAAAAATAAATTTGTTCTATACATTTTGTTCTTAGGCACAGTCAGATGAAAAAGCAGTTATTGCAAAACTGCATCAACATATCATAGCCCTTCAAGGTAGTGAATCTGCTGCTATAGGCAAATTGGAGGCACTTAAATTGAAACTACAGAAGATGGAGATCCATAATCTGCGTTTAGAGCAGAAGCTTGACGAGAGAGAGCAAGCCTTATATTTTGCCCGACTGGAAGGGAGAAATAGAGCCAAACATCTACAACAGACAATTCAGTCTCTGAGGCGACAGTTTAGTGGTGCTCTGCCTTTAGCGCAGCAAGAAAAATTCTCTAAAACAATGATTCAGCTACAGAATGACAAACTGAAGATCCTGGAAGAAGTTCAGCATGCCCAGCAGGAGCGTCGAAATGCAGAAAACAGAGCATTAGAGATGGACTTAAAACTGAAAAGTTTAGAAGAATTAGTAAGTGCACTGAAGGATACAAGAGGAGCTCAAAAGGTTTGCTATTTTACAGTCTTGAATAGCTTTGTTCATCTGATCTGCATTTAAATTACATTTCAGTTCAGCTCATTCCCTAACTGTTCTAATGTAGAGCTTAATGATTTCAGAATATGCTTTGTTAGAATATGACAGTTATAATTTTTTGTTTTCCTATTTTAAAAAAGCAACAAATCATTAGTTACTGGCCCTGTAAGTCAAAGCAGTCAGATTTACTAATTTTCTTTTGTGCCCAATTAAGTGGCTTAGGAAGTAGAGGCTAACTATGAATTCAGTTATATTAAATTGAATTAAATTATGAATTAAATGAAATTAAACACAGAATAGCATTCTGAAGTTCTGTTCCATGAGCTTGCATTGAGATCTTCACTACATATCCATATCTTTTTAAATAAATCCAGGGGCAATAATTTAGGCAGCGTGGCCAGAATTGTTATTATACTAATTTAATTCTACTTAATCATATTTTGCTATTGTAAACAATGTTGCCTTGAAATTTGAATAAGGCTTTCTCACTTCTCTTCTAGATCACTGTATATTATATAATATGGTTATATCTGTCATGACTAAAGATGTCTGCATGTAAGCAATGGCTGTAGCACTCTTAGCATGTTTTAGTTTTAAGCCAGTTTTCAAATACTTTTCTACACCATTTTGACATAAATGTCTGTTATTCTTAGTACATCTGCATTTTTGAATACGTACAGTTTTTAACGGCTTTGAAAATCTTCTGCTGTTTTAGACAAATCAACCAAACTTCTCGTGTGCTTTTTTTGTTCAGTCTGGACAGATGCATAGAGTATAGTTTAGTTAGATCATCTGAAAATTATTTGCAGTGCACTTCTGTCAGTGTAGTGGAAACCTGTTGCCTCTCCAGTTATCTGCTGCGCTCTTCAGTCATTCCTCTTGTAGTTTCGTACTCTTGCCATGCCTCCTCACCGAAGAGAAGAAGCTTAAAAAGGCAGAACTTCTTTCTTCCTGTTAATTGGATAAGTGCCATATTGCCTCAAAGTCAAAGAGTATAGCTGCATCTAGTTGGCCTGTGGGCTTGCTAAATATAATAGTGTGTTATTCATTATTAGGTAATTGAATGGCATATGAAGATGGAGGAACTCCATCTGCAGGAACTTAAACTCAATCGAGAGTTAGTCAAGCAAAAGGAAGAGGTGAAGTATTTGCATAATATAATTTCTGAATACGAACGTACAATCAATAATCTGGAAGAAGAAATTGTACAGCAAAACAAGGTATGTATTTCTGCATGCTATTAGAAAACCAGCCTATTCCTTATTTCACTAAGTGATTCTAAAAAGGAAAATTCTTTGTAGTAAGTTTTTACATAGATGTTTGTATCTTGGTTCCACAATTATTCTTAATAGCTCATTTGAGTATTCTTCGTTTTGGTATCTCTTTTTTTCTGTTTAAGTTACTTATAAAATTCCCTTTGCCTTCAATAAATAAAGTATCTTTATCAAACATTTGTTACAGTTTCATGAAGAAAGGCAAATTGCTTGGGACCAGAGGGAAGTAGAACTGCAGTGCCAGTTAGACCTGTATGATCATCAACAAAATGAAATACTTAGTACAGCTCTAAAGGTACATGCAATGAATTAACTAAAAAAAGCACGTTTTTTTGAGCTCTCAGATTATAAGAATATGAATCTTTCTGTGCAGTTAGAAGAGGCTACAGGATCAGTTCCAGACCCTAGTTTGCCACTCCCACAACAACTTGAGTTGGCTTTGGGAAAGATTCAGGAGCATATTCGAACAATCCTAGAAACTAGGGCAACCTGCAAATCACTGGAGGAGGTAATTAAGTGTATAAATTATCATATAAAGGAACAAAGTTTGTCTTTCTATGCCCTTTATTTTTTTTTATATAATGATTACCCTTTTATAAATGTCACTCAAATGTGTCCCATCCTTTAGAAGTATTTGACGCAGAGAAAATGTAAATAATATAATTACACCATGACTAAAATGAAGTATTTTTTCCATTGGAACAAATTATTGGGGAAAATTTCTGAATATTTTAGAACATTAGTTTAGTAGGGCAAGATGCTCTTGCTGTACAAAATTCAGTTGACTATAGCTAGTTAAATTTAGTGTTACATTAAATTTAAACAGTAGCATAGCAAAATCCTTTTATCTTGGATTGCTAAACTGAAAAACACCAGCTTTTTAATTTGGTAGCACAGAATGAGTTGCATAAGTGTCTTGTGCCAAACAAATAATACATAAAGGTGTGGTAATGATATTCTGAGATTTTTTTAATCTAATAGTAATCCCATACAGCCAGAGCTGAGTGCAAAACACTTTCTGTTTATAAGTCCATTTAGACAAATCTTTATGGTACTTCTTTTGAAATGTAAGATCTTTTTGTTGTGTTTGAATTTTGGAAATGCAACAATTGCCTTCGTTGTAGAAATTAAAAGAAAAGGAAATGGCTCTGTGGAAAGCTGAACAAAATGTTTTATCAAGAGACAAAGTTATAAATGAACTAAGACTTCGATTACCTGCAACATCAGAAAGAGAGAAAATAATGGCTGAATTAGGCAAACAAGAAGGTGATCCAGAGTACCATCGTGCCATAAAAATTGCTCATCAAACCATTGCAAACATGCAAGCAAGATTAAATCAAAAGGAAGAAGTGTTAAGAAAATACCAACGTTTGCTTGCTAAAGCGAGAGAGGTAGTTAAACTTTTTGCACAAAATTTCTTCCATTTTTAAGTTGTTTTGGTTGATTGTTTGGTTGTTTATCTCACTGCTAGTGAAATCTTAAACCATTTCTGACCTCAAAGGTAAAAGAACAGAAACAATTAGAAATTTTTTTATTTAGAAAGTTCTTGTAGAATTTTTTAAATTCTTAAAATAGGAGGCTTGTTCAGTTAAGAGGTTATGTATATGATGCCTCTCTAGGAATTAAATTAGTGTAATGGGAAGAAAATTAAAATTCTGCTGTGAGAAGTGGTGTCAGTATATTGTATATTTATATGGGAATTTCCAGTACTTGCAACAATGATCTCTGGACTGCATCTTGTAGTCAATTTGCAGGTACAGGAAAGACATGAATTTATGGAAAATATGCTTCTTAAAGCATATTTTAAATTAAAGCATATTTTAAGGCCTAAACAGTATATCTAAGCATGCTTTATATTATTTAAGCATACTTTATATTCTTTATACCCTCAAAGCATATTTTAAAGCATAAACTGTGTCTAAGAGATACTTCAAGACTAAACATGCATCACTTTTAGTGTGCTTGGATCAGGAGCACATTTCCTAAGCAGACTTCCTATCATCTTCTCTTAATGTGCTTTGGTTAACATGTGTAGCTATTTCTTCTGGGAGAAATCAAGCTTTTTGGTTTGGAACTAAACCACAAGATGCAGTCTAAAGATGAGCTTACTATGCTCTGTCTGCTAGCAGACATTCAATCCACAGGATCACACTATAGTCCAAAGTAAATAGACCTGAAAAGGACATAGTATGGGTATGACTATCCACGTTGATAGTCATAGTTGGTGAGGACCAACACCAACTGTTTTGTTCTCCAGCTCCTGTCCTGTTGCACCATACTACTTGCTACATAGCTTAAAAATGCAGTAGTAGGGTTTTCTTCCAGTATTGTTAAAAAGGGGGAAAAAAACCCCAACAAAACATTGATTATAGCAAGAAGAAAATAATTTTAAAGACTGACAGAATTAGAGGAAAATTTGGGGAGCAATACTGAGCAATGAGCGAAAAATTATTATGAAGGTACTGTAGTTTCATAACTTTCTGAAATAGCGTGCATTAGAAGAGTTATGTTTTTATTTTGAACTGTCAGGAACAAGAGGAAATAGCAAAGAAGCATGAGGAAGACCTTAGAGTTCTACACCAGAAGTTAAATTTGCATACTGACAATTCCCTTAATAAATTCAAGCAGACTGCTTTGGTGAGTTACATGTTTTTGTGGAATTAGTGAAGTTGCTCCCAAATTTTTAAAATTGTTGCTCAAAAGAACAGTTTTGAAGTCAAAAGAAAGTAATGAATGATGACAGGAAAAATAAATGTGTGGTTGATACAGAATTATTGTATTATTATTGCAAGAATTCATAAGAGATGGATTAGAATTCAAGTGTAAAAAACCAAAGTTACCACCTCATTATATATGAGCATTTTTCGTATCGTCCCTGTTTATGGAGGCTTCTAAGAGAAAGAGGTATATTTTGTTTTCTGTTCGTTTCATTCAGTCTGTGGTTATGTTAAATTAACCCATTTCAATACAAATTTTCTCTTGACATTTCATGATAAGGTGAAACCTGTATTTAACTGGTTATTCTGTGGATCATTAGATGCACAAAGCACTTTTCAAACCAGTGTGACTACTTTCTCTGGGAACTAAGAATCACATCTCAGTATATAAACATGTTAGATATTAATACTTAGTTATATTCAGGATTGAGTTTAAAAAGCATCACTAATGCTTACTTTTGGTTTAAAGCTTAAAATGTTTATCACGTACATTTGTTCTGTTTTACAGGAGTTAATGAAAAAGACTTCTTTATCGCTTTCCAACAACAAACATTTTCTCCGCTTAGCTGAAATGGAGCAAACTGTAGCAGAACAGGACAATTCTCTTGCTTCACTTGTTGGAAAGTTAAAGAAAACATCATCTGATTTGGAGAAACAAAAACAAATTACTTTAATGAAAATTGAAGAGTTTGAGACTATCAGAGCCCAGTAAGTTTTCAGACTGTTGACATAAGTCACAACTGGATTGGATCAAGCCAGCTACGTATTGTTGCTACAGGACTAGTCTACCAAACTGAACATGTTTTTGCTGAAAAAACTAACTCAAAAGAGTTACTATAATTGGTAATTGTAAATTATTTTTAATTTGTAGCCCTTCATTGGGGCTAATATTGAAAAACTGTCGCTTGGAAAAATGCCTTTCAGTTGTTAGCTTCATGCCATTCAGTGAAAAAGAAAGTATTCAAGGAGTCTCGGTATGAGAGTTGTCTTTAAGCTACTGTGATACTTGCTGGTTTGTGGGTTTTTTGTGGTTTTTTCCCTGATACATCCATTTGGGCTTGCTGCCTAAAAAAATTAAACTCACAAAAATTGGGAGTTTAAAAGTAGAAAAGTATGATCCTTTCTTTACCTGTTAGGGCCAGGAATTCGAATGAACAATGCTCTAATCTCATTTTGCTGATCTTCTTGAGTAATTTTGTTATTAAATGGAGGCCTTCTTTGTTGAGTCAGTCTTTTTTTGCCGTTTCCAAATCTATGTTACTTTAACGATAATAAAAAATACAACATCGTGCCCTTTGTTATTTATTTGGAGTTTGCCAACTTAATTATTGCAGCATACCCTATTAATGCTTATTTTTTCTTAGGATTCAGAAAAAACACACCGTTGATGTGGAACAGCTAAAAGATGAAGCAGACGAATTGAGGAAAATACTGTCTCAGATGGAGAAGGAATTAGCAAATGTAAAAGCTGAACTAGAGGTCCAAAAAGAAGCAAACAATAGAGCACCCACAGCAACACTGAAGAACTTGGTGGAACAGCTGAAGAGCCAGTTAGCCATGAAAGAGAAGCAGCAGAAAGTTAGTCAACAAAAATTAATCCCTGTGTCACATAAATGTTTAATGTTGCTTAATGCTTAAGAATTCTATGTAGAGTACAGCAGGAGTACTGCTGTATAATTGCATAATATAATACAGTAAAATATAATTGCCTTTTCTTGTTTTGTAATGTTCATATTAGCAGCTTTTTCACTTAAAAGAACTTATTATTTTCAGGCTTTGAGTAAAGCACTTCTGGAACTCCGAGCAGAAATGACTGCTAATGCTGAACAGCAGATTATTTCTGCTGCATCACAAAAAGAGGCATATATGAATGTCCAGGAGATTGTTGACAGACAAACAAAGGGGCTTACGGTGAGTACTAGGTAATGCTATCATATTTCATTGTTGTATTGTTGCTGATCCTGATTTTGAGGGTTTGCTGTTCATTTGTTTTCCTCTAGGCACAGATAGAGGAATTAAATAATCAGATTACAAAACTTACAGATAACCTTAAAATAAGTAAAACCAGGGAAAGTTCTTTGTCTGATGAAAGGGATGAGTTGAACCAAGAACTTCAGAGGAAACAAAAAGCATTTGCTAAAATGTTGAGAGAAAAAAATGAAATGGAAAAAGAAAATGAAGAACTGAAGAAACGGATTAGGAGGCTAAACAGTAGCATTCAGGTAGAAGTGATTTTTTAAAAATGTTCGATCTTGGTCAAGTGTCTGCATAAATGTGCTGGTTTGGGGGGGAAGATGAAGTACTTTTGGCAGGCATTGAGACTTGCACTTCATGTAAACATTTATGTTTGCTTATCAGCTGGGTTACATGTGAGTTTTTAGCTTTTCCTGTTGGAAGCATGGCTCAAATCAAAGGAATAGAGTGAAGAATATTTGCTCCTTGAAATATGTTTGAAAGAGTCTGAGGAGCTGAATTACTGCTTCCAAAGCTTCTTTGAAAAATGGAATTTTGTGATCTTCCTGTCCCTATTTCGCCTTTCAGAAAAAAAAGTAAAGGATTTACAGTAGAATTGTCTATATCTAATAATTTAAAGATAATTTTAAAAAGATGATTTAGGTTGTATACTAATTCTACCAGTTGGAATTGAAGTCCTTATTTTTTGAGTGGAGAAAAGTACTTAGGTAGTGGTCATTAAACTTTAAGCTTGATAAAAGTTTGTAATTTTTCAGAGCAAATCTGATGAACAAAATCTGATAGATGCACTTCAGAAAAAAAATAAAAAGTTGGAAAGTGAACTTGAGAAGAAGTGTGAAGAAACAGAAAAAAAAGGGGTAAGGGAAGACACGGTATGTGATGTTTAGGTCGTGGCTTTGAAAGACATCATGAGTATAGGTCTAGGCAGTTCAGCTTTCACTATTGCCTCTAAAAAAAACCAACCAACCAAACTTGATCAGAATAAAACCAGTTTCATGACTAACTTCTTCACGTTTCCCATGCTCTTTGTTACTGCTCACGTTGCTTACTACTGGTATAATAATGTCTTCCTGCCCTTTTTGTAGAATTAAAGATTCATTACAAATCTTAGAGGACTTAAGATTTTATAGGTAGCAGTGAAATTGATTACTTAAGTGCTGTCAAATGTGCATTTCCGAAATCAATCCAATGACAAAAACATGAAGTACTTAGGAACAAAAGTGTGAATCCTAAAAGGGATGATGACTATATATATATAAAGAGATGATTCTTCACAATAGTGAACTCCACATACAAGAGTTTCTAAGTGATTGGAGATGTGTTTCATTTTACCAGTTGTTTTGTTTGGGTTTTTTGCGTGTTATTTTACCGCTTCACCAACTAATTAGTGGCTTGTCATAGTAATCATAAAATATACTGGAATATTATAGCCTGCTTGTATAATGATATCCAGACTATTTATGGTAGTAAGTATTATTCTAGGACTGCACTTATGCTTCCAGTTAATTTGAGACTTTTTAAATAGTTGCTTAGTGTCTAGAAATATTTTTCTCAAACTTGGCGTATCTTTTCCTTTTTCCAAGATTTTGCTTCCTGTCTGTCCCTTAGTAGCAGTAACTGTTTAGAATGAAAACAGAAAACAAAAGTACAGGGGCTAACTGGAGAAGGGAAAAGTCCAGTTAAAAAACGCAAAATTGCTTACAAGAATATTGACTATGATTTTTCAGTAGCCATTTGTGATCACATAGCTACAGGTTTTAACTTGTGCATAATTTATAGTTACTGAATTGTAGAGATTCCATTTCTCATAGGAAAAAATTAACTAAAATGACCAGTTGTACAGCTGTTAGCAGGGGCATAGAATCTCCTGGTGAGCTGCAGAAGACAGATCTACTGTAAATTGGCACAGAAAACCACTTACTTTTCTTTAATCTGTCTTTTTTACTAAAGTGTAATTCAAAGTAAAAGGATATATTGCAGTAGCACCTCTAGTTTCATAAAATGTGCCACTCCTTTTTTGTAAAAGGAATATTAAAAGCTAAGGAAGAATTTGGTAATAGCTGCATCAGCTTTATACACCAGTGACTACAGCATACTTAAGATATCCAGCTGGACTTGCTATTTACCTTACTGTAAATATGGTAAATAATATATGCCTGCTATGGCTTCGTGTTTTAAATTGATAAATTAAGAATATATCATTCTTGGCCTTCTAACATATTTGCTTATTTTGCTTTAAAAAAAAATTCAGAAAGAAATACATAATTTGTTTATGTGGTTCACAGACCTCCAAAGAAGAAATAATTAGATGGGAAGAAGGTAAAAAATGGCAAATCAGAATGGAAGGACTGCGGAACAAACTAAGGCAAAAGGAAAAAGAAGCAGATGCTTTAGCCAAACAGTTGAATACATTGAAGGAAATTTATACCAAGTGAGTTGGTTTTAATAGATTCAGCTACAAAATGATGACATAAGGGAAATCCAAATGTGTTTGCCATTTAATAATTATAGCAGTTTGTTATGTTTATAAGATTGATGCCTAGAATTCAGCATTGGTATTGAGATTAAAAGGATTAATTAATTTTCAAGCAGCAGGCTACCCTGTAGTATCCTTTCCCTTGTAGAAGCCAACAACCTTTATTAGAAGAAACTGTCTCAGAATAAAACTAATTTAATTCCTTTATTATGCTTCTTGTATATAGCATTCTGTCACTCCCATGAAACAAATAACAGCTTTATGAAGATAGGCTGTTTCTCACCGCTGTGTTGTTTAATCAGATTGCTAGGATTGCATGCTGTGGTACTGTTACATGTAGTGCAGTACTGCAGTACTGACAGCTCTAGGATTATGAGATGGAAGCATTTAAAAAAAAACACACGTGCAAACCCTCTACAGATGTTACGTTTACTTCAGTACAGTAATGGCAGGGTTTTACTGATAAAAGATGCGGAAGAAAAAGGAAACTGTGATGGTGATTGTAACTTATTACATTGTGGTTTGAAACTACTTCAAAATGTCATTTATTCTTAGCAAGTCTTGCATGAATTTCGCATAGAACACAAGCAAGACCAGCAAGTGGTTTATGACATGCATGATAATGACTTAATGTTCATTGTCTTTTCCAAGTTTAGTTTTTGGGTTTGGGGTTTTTTTGATAAAGCTGTAGTGTCTATAAGGTAACCTTATTAAACAGAAAAGGGGGTGTGGTTCAGTGAGCAAATAAATTGCAAATGTGCATTCTGCAAGACAGAAAATATTTTCTCCTAAAGAAAGCAAGTTAACAAATAAAGTTTTAAATGTAATTTTACTGGATGTTGCAGGTCTGAAAAAGAGAAAATTGCTCTACAGAAGAAACTGAAAACTACTGGTGTCACTGTTGACCGTGTTGTTGGAGTAAGAGCCTCAGAGACTGAAAAAGAACTGGAAGAACTAAGAAAACGGAATCTAGATTTAGAAAATGAAGTTGCCCACATGAGGTGAGAGGCATTTTAAAATAATCTATAAAAAAATAAAAAACATAAGTAAGAAAAAAATCTGTGAAGAGAGATAGTCTCTATTAGACCAACTGATTCAGTAAGGAAAGAAACAGATGGGAGTTTCAAAAATCCTTTGAGTCTGTGATGAGCAAATTTAAAGCTACTTGGTAGCAATTGTGCATGTTCAGAGAATATGCAGCATTGGTTCATTATTCTAAAAAGCTAAATAATATGAAAAACATCTAACTCCTATTGTGTAAAATTGTAATTAGAATTTAGAGTTGGTGAAAGTTACTGGAACTGCTAAGTTGTAGTTAGGGAGTGTATTCTTAATCAGTGTATCCACGATCACAGTGGATAGCGCACCTGAGTGATAGAAGCTGTACACATCTCAAAAGAGCAAATGCATTTTGCCAAAGTAGGTACTTCTGATTCACATGGATTAGTTGAAATAGTATGTATAGCTAACATTGATTTAGAATAATTCCCCTAGTAATACTAGAAAATCCAGCCTAGTAATCCAGAAATTCACACAGTTTTTACCTTAAGGGATGTTTTTCTGCATCAATAGCCATTTGTTTGTTTTGGCTTGATTAATTTTTTGATGTAGAACACAGCAAGCAATCCCGCGAGATTCTGTGGTAGAAGAATTGCATTTCAAAAATCAGTACCTCCAGGAAAAGCTTCATGCATTGCAGAGACAGTGTTCAAGAGAGACATATTCTAGACCTTCGGTAAGTTAATAATGTACCATATTACCTAGAGGAATCACACCTACTTAACAAAACTATTTGTTATCCATTTGGTATTCTGTGTCATTAAGCTGATTTTATTTCAAATTATAGTGTTCTAGAACAGGATATGAAATGCTCAGCTTCTGGTGTTTTTAAAAAAACACAACAGAACAAACCCAACTCCCCCAAACTTTTATTTTCTGTGTTCTACCAGTAGAAGCTGAAATATTCAGCATCCTAGCATATGTGGAGAAATAAGGGATATATATTTTTAAATACATGAGTCCGCAACTGAGAGACTAATTTTATATTCCATATGGATTGAAAATTTGGGATACACAGAGTTTGGGGAAACACTGAGCTGCATTTCAGTTACATTAGGTGTTTTTGTTGTGTTTTGATTTTTACAGGTTCATTATATTGCAAATATTGCATCATTGGGTTATCTTAATCTTTCACGAAATAGATTTAAGAGTACATTCTAAGTTTCTTTGTTTCCTGTTTTGTTTTACTGTCTTCTGCTTTTCTTTCATGCTTCATTCTATCTTCAACTTGAATCAGAGTACATGTGACCAAACTGAACTGACCAAGTCTGTTCCTATCAGTATCAGTAAGCAAAAGTATTTGAATTCCCTTCAAAAGAAATCTGTTTCAAATAGGGATGAGATCAATCATCAGACTAATCACAGCATTACTGATGGCAATGAAATAGATGAGGAAGCAAACATGCAAAGATGCATCATGCATAATGAAGGCCATGAGGCTATTGCGCATGCAAGTACAGAAGCATCTCCTGAACAGCATCCTGAAGATAGTGAGAAATGCAAGGACAAAGGTAGTTCTAGGGAAGGACTGAAAAACAAAAATATAGCTGAAGCTGGTGAAGAGAACTGCAGTGAAAAAGAAGAAAATATAAACCAATCTGAAAATGAAAAATTTAATGAGGAATTTGAAGAAGAGGAGAGGAAGCAAGAAATACTAAAGCAATCAAATGTTGATGAGGAAGAAAGTGTAGAAGAGCCTTGTACTGACAGAATGAGCTGCAATCAGTCTGATTCAGGGGAACCTTCTAATCAAACTAATGACTATGAAGCAGAAAAAATAAATGGGAATAATGAAATGAATCAACACACTCCAGAGGATAAACATGAAACTTGCCAAAGTGGTACAGAGGGGGTGGAAACAACCCCAGAATTTTGTGAAATGCCCGAGGTTTGATACTGTAGTGGTCCTCTAGCATTTATTCTGTATAAATGACGTAGAAATAGAATAGTTTGATCTTGATAGTCCAGTGGTTTCCTATGCGTGGTCTGCAGGGATACTGGACTAGTCACCAAGTGGTCCATAAAGCAAACCTTACACTTTAATGATAGGCATGCATGTCAGCTCACAAGCCAGCTATGGTCAATTCTAAAATTTTGATCCAGAAAGTTTACAAATAATCACAGTGATACATGCCACTAGTTGATGACCTTCATTCTTTAAGAGACTTATGATGTGTTATTACTTACAATAAGAAAAAAATGTGCTTTATTGAAGCAAATACTTTATTTCTATCATTTAGTGATGAATTAATGGTTCATATGGTTAATTTCATACTTACATAAGTAAAAACTGCTGATTATTATGTTAACAACAGGTTTTACTCTTTACCAGTCAGGCATAATAATTTACCGTATACTTACGATTGGAATTGGCAATATAAGGCATGCAACGCACTCTTTCTGTAATAGAAAGTACTAGCCTCCGTGGATAAAGGCTTAAGACTGTAGGAACAGACTAAGAACTCGAGTTACACACTACTCTTCCTGACTTGCTCTGTAATCTGTTTGACTGCAGTGAAATTCTTTACGCCATATGTTCTATTTAATAAACGTATCAGAGTATGTCCTTAACATTAGATGCTGTTCCCAGGTACAGTGTCACAGCTTATTACACTCTGTAGCTTTTTTGTCTTTTAGACTTTGATATTTATTTCTGCCCAATAGTTTGAGAGTTAATTGGGTTTGGCGAAATTTTTACTGGTTTATACTGATTTGTGAACTTCCCTTAAGCAAGTCTAGAAAATATAAGCACTTACAGTTAGAGCACACTAGATCAAAACTAGTGATACAACTGTCATCTGTTTTATTTCTGTGAAAAATACTAATTCTCTGTTGCTCTTTTATCAGCTACAACTGATACAATGAATAGTGCATTACCACTTAATAATAATTTTTTTCCCTTCCATTTTCTCAAGACTTCAGGAATAGGATCAGGTGATCAATATCGAAGAGAACAAGAGGTTTTAAAGGAAAATTTAAGATTGTCATCTGAAAACATTGAGCTACGATTCCAGCTAGAACAGGCCAATAAAGATTTGCCAAGACTGAAGGTAACATCTTTTTATCTTCAGTCCCCTTTAACCTGACATAGGTTAAGGGATTGCTTAAAAAGACATGGATATATTTTCTGTATACACTGTAAGTTTTTTATGTTTTTATGGAAGGTGAGAAGGTTGAGTGGCTGGTAGAAATGATGAAAAATGTCATTGCAATGGGAAATTGCCTTCTCTTTACATTTTTCAAAGTAAACCAACTGTAATTTTGTTACCGTTCACCTCAATTTGAAATCTAAATAAGTTGTTTATTACTTTGGTTTTTTAGGACCAAGTAGGTGACTTAAAAGAAATGTGTGAACTTCTCAAAAAAGAGAAAACAGATGTTGAACGAAAGCTGAGCAGTATCAGAGGGGTAAGTATCGTAACAGCAATTACGAATTATATGAAAAATGAAAATTCATGTATTTGTGTAAATGCATAATACAGTTACAGCTTTATGATATAAAAGATACAATTTTGATGTGATGCAGATGTTAGAAAGCGTAAGTTATTGTTAGTGAAGTTTTTTCTTTGTTGTACTACGCAAGATGACACAGTTAAATTTTACCCGAGCTACTGTCAGCTGCTTTAACGGAGCAATATTTCAGAAGTTATAGGAAAAAAAGGCTTCAGCAGAACCCAGTATCTCTCTTGCCACTAACTTGTCAAACTATTTGTGTGACCTTTTCCCCATTTCCCACTGTACTGTGCTCCTTACCTTTGTAGAAAGAAAAGGAATGGGAAAATAAGTGATAAAGTAAGATTTGGAGTATCTCAGAATGCTAAGATGAACTGTTTACTTCCTTTTACTTTTTTTAATTACCTCTCTATAGGCTGGTAGAAGTGGAAAGACAGTCCCAGAATTGGAAAAAACAATTGGTTTGATGAAAAAGGTTGTAGAGAGAGTCCAAAGAGAAAATGAAGATCTGAAAAAAGCTCCAGCTGTGGTTTCTAATGAGAAATTACTTGGTCTTGAGCAGGAAAACGAGAAGCTAAAGGTACTGATTTTTCTGCAATAACTGTATTTAGATAGCAGTTTATATGCAAGTTAATAAGAAAATGGAGCAGCAAGCCTGTTGTTGACATTGGTTGGCACAAAAGTGTTTTTAAAATGCCAAATATGAAACATGTAGAACACAAAAGCAAAACTTCATTTTACTGTAACATACTGCATGACTTATGTAAAGGTACTCTGTACCTTAAGGATTTATTTAAGTATGTGATGAAATGTTATGTTCACTGTGCTAGGTGACTCTAACTATGCTGTGCTTTAAAAATGGAACTGAGATTTTCTACTAAGCAATGTATATGTGTTTTAACAAACTGTTTGATATTTAGTCTGAAATGGAAAAAATGAAACTTCATCTGGGGGGCCAGCTGAGTATGCATTATGAGTCTAAAACCAAAGGAATGGAAAAAGTCATTACTGAAAACGACAGGCTGCGTAAAGAACTGAAAAAGGTATGATCATTGTAATGCATCCCTTTGTTTCTGTTAGTTACTGGTTGTGGCAAGTATCTTTTTTTTTTAATGGTTGATATGGAATGGACACTTTTCTAAGCACTGATACTGCCATGACAGAATTTTTAATTATATGTGGAGAGGAGACATCCAAGGAGCAGCCCAAGACAGAATTTGGAAGTTGTAGTGCTACTGATCTTGGATGCACTGTTTTCTTCTGCATCAGCACTGACCCTGTCTCACCATCATTTTAGATAATCTGGTGCGTCATGTGAGGTTAAGTATTCCATAAACCTTTGTTTTTATTGAACAATAGGAAGCTGACAGTGGAGAGAAGCTAAGAATAGCAAAGAATAACTTGGAGATACTAAATGAGAAGTTAACGGTACAGCTGGAGGAAACCACTAAGAGGCTAAATTTGGCTGAGAGCCAATTTGATGGAGCGGACAGCAAAAGCTGGAAATCTGTTGTAACAAGGTAGGAACTGAGAATGAAGTAAGGAAGATAAACACAAGTGTTAATTCCTCTTTAAATATTAGCAAACAAATTCAACTTTCATTTTTGTAATTTTTCTTTCCTCTTTTGAAGATAGTTTTATATTATCTGTATTTTACATTCTGATTCTATACTAGTATGCAGAATCAATATACAGGTCTCTGATACAAAACCAGAAGAGATTAAGTGTCCTGAAGTACTGGCCTTGTTAGTTGCTTCGATACAGAAGCCAGGTACTTACCTCTCTTCTTCAAATCTGCTGTAGACTTCTGGGTAGTTCTGGTAGAGGAAATATTTTGTGTTCCTTGCTGCTTAAATATATTGCATTTGTGCTTTGTGGAATAATGTCAGCATTTTTGCTGAACGCAGAAAGTATTTCAATACCTTACCACATGGATGGCCGTCTGAAACAAAAACTGGAACTCAGCAACCTGCATTTTCCAGCTCGGCTGTATTTGAATCTACATTTAACCATGTGAATGTGCAGAGGTTGTGTTAGAAAACCCACTGGGATTTCTGTACTCCTTGGGACACGTAAACATAGCTAAAGATCCTTCCTGTGTGTTCTGAAGGCCCTGAAAGCTAATTGCAGCCAGCCAGTTGATTGTGTAATCTGCAGAAGGGAGAAAAACTCAGAGACTAGCACTGGATTATCTTTTCCAATATATAAAACGAAACATGGGAATCACCATTTCCTAAATATTTAGCTAAAACTCAGACTTTGAAATCAGCATAAAAAATAATTTTTGGTTTGGTAATAATAGTAAATGTCTACAACTCTACCAATGAGTTATCCGAAAGTTACCTATCACTTGTTTTAAAATTCAGGTATCGCTTCTAAAGAAAACAGGTTTATGACACCAATTTCTGCTTTGCAACTTAGGCATACATTTTTAGTTTATCTGTACTTTTGCTATTAGTTCAGATGTTCTTTCTATGACAACCTACTTATACAACCTGAACAATTTAAGCTGCTTTCATTTCTTTGCTAGAAGCAAGCTGTTTAGTTCTGTTTTGTGGTTTGCTTACAGAAATTATTTTGGCAAACGGTCACCCCAAAACCATTGCCAGTCCAAAAAGCATTACCATTACACCCATTTTCAATAACGAGCTACGCACGAAGATGCTAGTTATATGTCACAGTAGCATGTTTAATAATGAACAGATTGATGTAGAATATGAGTTTGATATAAGATACATTCACATAAAACATGCTTGTGATTCATCGAAGTGGATGAGTTTTACCCCTCTTGAGGCAAGAGTTTTTAACTGGGTATTGTCTCTTATACTGCTGTATCTCAGAAAAGGACAAGAAAATGAAACAATGCTTATGCTATGAAGAGAAATAAACAGCCTGTGTCCTGCATAAGGGTGGAAGAGAGCAAATTTTGGGGAAGAAATATTTAGTCCTGGACTCCTGGATGGCCTCAGGATGAAATAAGATGATGTGTTGCAAAACTAGTCTTTAAAAAAATTGTGGTAAACAGAGGTGGAAGACATCTACAAACCCAACCTCTGACAGCCACCTTATTAGGGCAGAAAATCAGCTGGACAGAGAGAGACTTGTCTGATTCCATCTTCGGTCAGAGCACTGTTGAACAGTCTTCACCTGCTGATGTCCAAGGTTTTACCCGCTTCCCCACCTTGCACTCCCGCAGGACCCCTTGGTGCTTCTCTGACATATTGCTGAGCCATTTCATGTCACTGAGACTTCAGAAAACTGTTCTTTTTTTTTTTTAAACTTCCCTCTAACGGTGTAGTGAGGTAAAACATCTTTATGCAAGGTCAGATGACAGCCATATTTAGCCTAATGAAGGAGAGCAGAACTGGCTGCCAGCCACAGGAGGAGGACAGGAAGATGCAGTGAAGATGGTAGGCCCTTAATAGCTGGTGTATCAGCTCAGTGGTTGGAATATAGTTTTTCTTTTAGTTCTTCACCTCTTTGAAAAACATCTCTACTTAGTTCTATTTAGTTGCACATAGATTTAAAACGTATGGTTGTGCTTAATTGTACTTGCCTACTTCAACTGGTGTGAATAAAAACTTTTATTTGCATTTACTTCAACATGATTTTAAAGTAAGTGGATAACATTACGACATTACTAATGTAGAGGAGCTCACTGGGGCACGTCAACGTGCAATCCACCTCACCAGCACATACGTGGTAATAGAAAGTATTTGATAGGGCTGACAAAGATGTCATCCAAGTGATCCTTCAGAAGGCTCTTTGGCTGGTAGCAAGATGCTGGAGGTTGTATTGCCATCTGAAAACCCACTTCAGATGGGAGATTGGACTACATGACCTCTAGATACCTTCCAACCAACATTTCAACGATTCTACAAAAACCTTCTTGTAGCCTTCTTGTAACTCAAAGCAAAACAGAATCCTCCTCAGACTGCTGTTACTCTGGGGTAAACACAATTTCTTGTAGAATATTTTTGCCCTTGGAGTCTTCATCTTCTGTATCTGTATTAGCCCTTTTCTCAGTACATTGATTTATTTTCCATATATTATTAAATCATAAGAAAAATACTGTCAAAGATATGACACTGAAGTAAGACCTGACCGATGTGCACACTGCATCAGTAATAGATGTGCTTGTTTTTAGCAGGAGGTAGGTTGGGGTTTATGTGCAATACCATAAAAAGATTCTAGTCCCTCTTTAATGAAGTGTAGACACAAAGTAAGATCCAGAAAGGTGTAACATTTGGAAAAGCCTTTATTCTAAGATTAAAAATTTATTTTTCATTATGTTTCTTTCAGCTTCCTTATTTATAAGACCAGTGATCATTTCAAGGCCAATACCCCAAACATATCTTAGGGTGTATTTTATGGCATTTAATCTCCTAAAGATATTTTAATCTCTATTTCTGCAAAAGTATTAGCTTTTGCTCTTATCTTTTTCTAAATAAAAATACTACCAGGATGCACGAAACTAAGATGAAGGAAATGGAAATGGATATTGCTAAGAAAACCCAAAGCATTACTGACCTTAAACGGCTGCTTCAGGAAGCAACAGAACGTGAACACAATGCCAATAAAAACGTACAAGATCTAAAAGAACAAGTAAGTAAAACTTAGTCAGGTAACTCTGAGAATAAATTGCTTAATATTAATTAATTTCTTTCTAATGTCTATATTGGCAGAGTACATTTTTTTCTCTAATCCATGTTTTTATAGGATTTTCATTCCTAGTTGCAGTAATTATACATCTACATATTGTAGCCAATTAATGAGGTTTACCACATATTGTCAATATATATTCTTGACTTTCAGTCTTCAGGGAAAATTGATTTTTTTCTACTGTATTCTTCTGTAGGGTTTTGTATTATATTTTCACTGATCACATGAAAGCCTGTAGGTACGAATGCTTCCAATGGTCTTCAAATCTTTCTAGCTTGTTCCGCAGAGTGAGTTTGCTGTAGGGACTTCCCTCTTGATTTACTTTCCCATCCTAAAGGGGATCTTCATCCTGGCTTGTATCAGAAATAGTGTGGCCAGAGGGACTAGGGCAGTGATCATGCCCCTGTACTCGGCACTGGTGAGGCCACGCCTCAAATACCATGTTCAGTTTTGGGCCCCTCACTACAAGAAAGACATTGAGGTGCTGGAACATGTGCAAAGGGCAACGAAGCTAGTGAGGGGTCTGGAGCATAAGTCTTATGAGGAGCAGCTGAGGGAACTGGGGTTGTTTAGCCTGGAGAAAAGGAGGTTCAGGGGACACCTTAGCACTCTACAACCACCTGAAGGGAGGTTGTAGTGAGGTGGGTGTTGGTCTCTTTTCCCAAGTAACAAGCAATAGGATGAGAGGAAATGGCCTCAGGTTGTGCCAGGGGAGGTTTAGCTTGGATATTAGGAAAAATTTCTTCACTGAAATTGTTGTCCAGCATTGGAACAAGCTGCCCAAGGCCGAGTCCCCATCCCTGGAGGTATCTAAAAGACATGTAGCTATGGTGCTTAGGGACATGGTTTAGTGGTGGGTTTGGCAGTGCTAGGTTAACGGTTGGACTTGATGATCTTAAAGGTCTTTTCCAACCTAAACGATTCTATGATCCTATGATATATGCCTATTTCCAATACGGCCTCCTACATACAGTCCCTAATAGGTCTTACATATACTATTTCATACATGAAAGAGTTATGAATTTTAAACTTGGGTACCTTTGAAAAGATCTATCAAATTTTGGCCTTTAAATACACCAGAGATGTAGCCCTAGGACTGTCCACCTAGATTAGCTGCCATCTTCTCATTTATTAATACGTGCATGGTTTCCTCCCCAGACATCTTGTACTGGCCATTCTTAGAGTAAGGTATGGAATATACAACTTTCAATATAGGAAGTTATATATATTATCTAAGCAAGTACACGTGTTCAGTAAATAGAACTTGGAACTGAGTCCTGTAACGCAACTGTTAATTTTTGCTTGTTTTCCCTTTCCTAAGGTCAGCATTATTAACAAGAAGTGTATACCAGCAGCAAAATTAACAGAGATAAAATTCTTTCATTATGTGATAGTACACTGGAGCAACGCATCTTCCAGTTTCTTTCATGTCTCAAATACTGGTGAAGGGATGTGGTCAAGGTTAACTACATTTGAAAGAAATAGAGACCAATTGTGAAAAAAATCCAAATCCTTACCGGTTTAGGTAGTAATAGAACAAAAGCCTATCACTAACAGTAGCCTTATGAGAATTCATGAATTATCACTGCATTCAAAAACTCTATATAGTCTCATATTTAAAACACTAATTTTTTGATCCCACATCTTCTACAGAAAGGCACTTCTAGAGGCTAACTCCCTCTCCAGTCAGGGACCTGTTCTAACTCAGGACTGCAGGTCATTTCTAGCCAACATACGCTCATTTGGGTTTTCATTGCAAAATCACAGGCTTTTCATATCATGTTTAAAAAGGAACTTGGAAACCTAGATATGCAAATAAGCACAACAGTAGTATTTGTAAAGCACTTAAATGATTTGGGCATATCACTTCCTTAAGCATATGTATATATTATGCTGATGTAACAGTGTCTGACTTTCTTTGTAAAATCTAATTTTTGAATACTTTTCACCCTTCATGAAATATGTAGCAATGATCTATACTACCTTTAAAAAGGCTGGAGCTAATTAGCTTTGTGGAAACTGTCAGTAGATGAACGCGCTTTTTTTTTTTTTTTTCTATGATAACCTAGTACTTGGTTACATCCTTAGTATTATTTTCATTCATTTTTTAATCCTGTATCAAAGAGAACTCCATCTGAACTGCATTATCCATGGATACTGTTTACAAGAGTAAAGCCTTCTTAATTTTTCTTTTAAGATTGAGCTTCTCAAACAGTTCCCTGAAGGTGCAAGGACAGAGCAAAGCCTCATCAGGGAGCTGCAGCTTTTAAGGTAATGTACTTTTAAATAACCAAATAAATACCTCAGACAATATACATGAAATAAGAATGATCAGGAAACGGCCTTGCGACTTTTAGTTACATCTTTTGTATTCTAAAATATTCTAATAAATTTTTAAAAGTTATTCTAAAATTGTTTTATATTCCAGATTAACTAATAATCGATTAGAGAAAGAAAAAGCAGAACTAGCTCATGAGGTGGAGGATTATAAGCACCACATACATACACGTACAAGTGAAAGTCCTGCAGCCGGTAATCATTTTATATATTTGATATATACCTAAATATATACCTAAATACCTAAAATAGCTTCCTGTATTTTGGGCCTAAAACTATTTTTACTTAATACGTGTGTGCAAAATGGTAAAACTACAGTTATTTGAATTATATTAATGCCAGAGTAGTGTAAAATGGAGCAGACTAAGGGCTTGGATTTTTACTTAGACAAGTTTTTTATAGAGAAGTTAGTAAAAATTTCCATAATTAATTATCTTGAACAAGAGTCTGTAATCTTTGTAAGGTCTCCCTTTCCAAGAAGATGTGTAGTTCATGCCACCATCTGCTTTATAAACCTCAAAAGACTGCTTGTAAGATGTCAGCCATTCACTGAAATCCTCTGACCTCCCCTTTTGCCTTGGGTTCCAAGCTGGCAGAGAACAAGTGTCCGTTTCCAGATACCAGCTCTGTGACTCACTCAAGACTTAGCAGCCATCAGTCCCATGGGAAAAGCAGAGCACTATGGAGCACCTCATCACCACATGACTGGGAAAAAAAATGAAAGTTAACCCTCCTGAAATTAGCAATATAATTAACAAGATCCTTATACTATGTTATTTCCAAGCTTCCTGCATTTAATTACAAGAAACTGTACATGTCGTATTTTTTAGAAGTGCACTAACAGAGTGGCCATTGGAGTATTGCACTCAATCACAGGAACTAGACACCATCACCTAACCTGTACAAGAACTAAAGCAAAGCCTAGATGACTTGAATGTGTGGTGGTTGTTGATCCCAACTGGGTTTACACACTTTTAACTGTTTCAGCTTTCAGGAGGTGCAGAGTGAGCATAACAAGACTATTAACGTTACTGATTTTCATTACCTTAAATTTCATAGCAAGTTATCATTATTTTTGTAGGACATAATGAAATCGTAGAGAAGGATAAAAATAAGTTAATGACAGAAGTAGCTGACCTCCAGACACAGTTGAAAGCCTCAGAGCTGGAAAAACAGCAATTAAAGGTGAGTTGCAAGGATCATCCTAGACAAGATAATGAGCAAAATTATGGCTAGCTAAAAAGAACTGTTTAGTATCTAAACTAATGTTTAATGATAAAGTCCATTTCTAAACATTAGGTTTATGAAGCCTATCGTGTTGTTAGTAATTGTGCTGTTCATGGGTAGATTTTTGTGTCTCTAGAGAACATGCTTATTCTCTCATCATTCAGGCTCTTAAGAAAAAGGCAGAGCAAGCTGTTGTTGATGTGTATTTATTTCCTACATTGTGGATAAAGCTGGTATTTCTTCATTATTTTTAATAGGAAGAAACAAAAAAGCTGAGAAGAGAACTAGAAAACTTTGACCCTTCCTTTTTTGAAGAAATTGAGGATCTGAAATATAACTACAATGAAGAAGTAAAAAAAAATATTATCTTAGAAGAGAGATTAAAGCAGCTTTCTGAAGAGTTTGGCATTCAAGGGGATAGTCCAGGCAACGTTTCTGTTGATTAGGCTAATGTTTAGCATCTGCAGTATTGATGCAGAAAATAAATCAGTATTATGTAGCTGCCCTGGAATTTATCTGCAGTATTGATGCAGAAAATAAATTCCAGGGCAGCTACATAATACTGATTTATTTGTCTGTTTTCATCTTGGAATGATACAAGTCTATTAAAGTTACAATAGTTTGGCACATACCCAAGAGTGCAGAAGTGGATTAGTCAACGGATTATGGTCAGTATTTACACACACCAGTCAAAATAAAAGTGAGTTTTACCTCTCCCAACTCCTTTGGAATATTGTATTTTAATTCAAAACAGTAATTTGGGTAATACAGAGGTGTTAGGTGAAGTTGAAACCTTGGACTTATTCTACAAGTTGAGGAACTCTTAAAATGTGCTAATATGCTAAGTTCCAGGTCACTAAGAAGATGTAATTTGTTCTTGCTGTCTCATGCTATCATACTACTTAACTATGGACTCAGGGTCAGTACCTGGTTATTTTTTACCTCAATTTTAGGAAATCCAGGAAAAAATAGTTGAAAAAAAAAAAGTTACAGTATTTCAGCCAAACTCATGGCATTTTTGTAGGTAAATGATTTTTCATTTTGTATATTTTATATAGCTGGATGTATACTTTTATAGCACAGATAAAATAAAGCCAACTCAACAATCATGCAGTCTCACCTTTATTATTTATATGCCATCTTACTTAATATGCCCTTGATGAAGTTTCCTAATTGAGATGCAGTCTGAAAACGAGTATTATTAAGCCAAGTCATGTCTGTCTCTAACTAGTAAGGATCTCCAAAATAGAGCTGGGATACTTTCTATTATTTACTCTTTTTTTTTTTTTTTCCCCCAAAACAGTGGAAATACCTGTAGGAAATAGCTTATTTAGGCTTTCAAGTAATAGCATAATGTTGCAGCTTACCAGTTAAATAATACAGTGAAAAGTTCTCCCACAAAAGAAATTGTTACAACTTTAAAAATTTCAGGACTAATTCTGGTCCCACCTGAAATAGGTCCTTTACTGTTGAGAAACAGCTAGATCCTAAATCTGAATCCTACATATAACAATGTCATAATAATTATATTTATAGAAGTGCAACCTATGGAACTTTTACAGTTGATTGCGTTCATTAACTAAGCTATTAGGACCAGCCAGTGTTAGACAACATACTTCTTACACTTAATTATAACAGTTTCCAGAAATGGGATTTTTCAGAACTGGAAATAAACATGCTGAAAGCTAGATCTCTGCTCTGGATATCAGATCCCTCGTTATATAAAATCAGTAATTTAGGAAAAACTTAAAATTGTGTAGTATCTAGGCTGCTGCCTAAGCTAGAAGATTATTTGTAAAGAGTTCTGTGGTAGACACAAGCACACATGACAATTAACTGAAGAGAAAAATCATTTCAAGCATCAAACTTGATATCTTTGAGTCTGTCAAATCTTTGACCATCCAAGTTTGAAAACTGGTGAAACAAACTCTTTGGTTCAAAGTCATAGTCATATTTAGTTCTATTAAAAGTAATTACAACAGGCTGAGAATTCAGGTGTGTCTCTGCAAGGGGCCAGCGTAAACCAAGATGATGGCGATGGAGCTGAAATAGGAAAGAAAAAAAGAGAAGTTTAGAGATTTTGGTAGAGTAGCCCACCAGTTCCCAGCTCAGGGGAGTGTGGGTGTGCATGCTTTAATTCTAGGATCCTCTGCATTAGGGCACTTACAGCCATTAATCAGGTATCCAAACAACATGAGTAACAACGAAGCACAAGAGGCAAACCAGAACCAATGTGTCCTCCACAGCTTCAGAAATATAAACTTGCTAATTAATCAAAAATCACATTAACAATACTTGTTCTATAAGTCAACATTGCAAGAAATACATTTTTTAAATAAAATAATTAAGCTTTAAAATGTTGAGTGATTCCCATACAGACAGGCAAGAAAATTACTTTATGTTCTCAATTGCTTTTAAGTTATTAGCATAATGCTGATAATAAAAGAGTTTAATATGTTGTCAGCGTAGTGATTCACTGTCTTGACTAATTCTACTGTCACCTGATTTGCTAGAACATTTACTACTAGAGAATTTGGAAAATGACAAAAAGTGAATACCTTCCAATACTTCACATATTATGAATTATTGTAGTGCTTTCCACACGTCGATCTATATTTTTACCTTGATTAAACACCCATCATGGCAGTGCCACACAATTCCTTCAACTTTACCCTCACTGCAGCCTTCAAACCAAGACAGTATGTCATTTTGTTTCAAAGTAGGAGGATTCTTTATTTCAAATGCTCCATGTGGTACAAGCAGATGTATAGGCTGCTTCTTGCTTCCTAATCCTATGTGAAAAGAAATAAAAATTTTCCTGCTAGTTACATGTGGTAACTTAAGATTTTCCTCACTTCTGTTGTTATGGCTATCTTAAAAGCAGTCTATAAAGGTAGACTTCAATTAGATACTACAGTATTGTCCTGCCTTTAAGAGAACAGTTAAATATACCTTTAAGTATAAAAACGTAGCTGTGTCCTCCTCACGTAACTTCTTATTTATATAAAATAAACACAGCAGATATTTATACAACTGTCTGCTTTGTCCTTGTGGTCACCTCCTCAGTAACCATACAGCCCCTAGCTAAACTCTTCATGCTTCGGATCATGATCAGCAGCACAAACAACATAGTTCCTGAAAATTTAGCATATCTTCTTATAGATTAATACTTGAGCCAGGCTGTCAAATGCATTGTCTCTTCACTGACTGTTCAACTTCAATCTTCATCTAAGAATATAGCAATTAGAAGTTTTTGTTGCAGTTCCTTTACATTCTGAGAAAATGCTTAGACCAGGTACTACTATTTTTCCTATCTGTCCTTGCAAGTTATCCTAACAGCAAAGCTCAGAAGTTAGAAGTCACTTGTGCTCATACCTAATTGTTTTTTTGTTAAAAGGCTTTTAAAGGGAGAAGCCACAACCAAAATGTAGCTTAAATTAACATTTCCTTAAAAAAAATTAATAATAAGTTGCAATTCTTAAATTACAAAGTATTACTAACCCTAGGGACTCAAAAAAAGTGGCTGAATAAAATTTTCTACTTTAATGGACTAAACAACATCAGAAGAGCAATTAAAAAAAAGGCACCAACAAACAATTGTAACAAATATTTTAGTATCTTAATAGCGATATCTAAAACAACTTTTCCAGTCAGAATATTTTTGAAAGACTAAAGCTAAGCATTTTTATAACTCCTAAAGAGCATGCAGATGGAAAGAGATATAGAAATAGACCTAAATAGTCTTAGGACAACTCAGCTTTCTGACGTATTTTTGGGTGAGTGTTCTTTGAGCTAGCCCTTTCCTTTCTAAAAAGGTTACATCGCTACCTTAAAACTTGTTTTTAAAACTTATACAAAGAAAATACATAATTTTCAATCAAAAAATATCACTAAATAAAAAAAGTACTTAAGAACAGACCATACAAACTTACCATATGGATTTGCATTAATATTAGTGCCGATAAGCTCCAACGTTTGTTCTAAAATATCTGATAATGGCACCGGAGTTATTTCCAGAAGCTCTGGGTCAGCATGGCGTTTCAATACCAGCGCTATTTCAGCCTCATAATTTACAACAGATGAGTGCCAGCAATACTGCTTACTATCTTTCTCCACAGGCACCCAACCTATGAGAAAACATTGCATTTCACCAAAGTAAATACCTGAAGGTATTGTACTGTACATACATTAAAAAACCCACAAGTAACTACAAACAGAAGGAGTAAGAAGAAAAACTATGTCATACATCAGAGAAATGTCAGAGGAATGAAAATGTGACAACTACGCCTTCAGCTGAAGCCCTGTAAGTCTGTATAGAAAACTGCAATTATTTTCAGTGTGTCAGAAGAACAAAGCCTTTCTGGATAGCGAGTGACTGACATGCCAGTTGTTTTCTGAATATGTTAACTACTACTTTTAACTCTGGAACTAATTCTAATTCACCTCAAAAATGAATACCACCACCACCACCACCATCACTTTACCTGTGCTGCATCATAGCTACCTGGCATATGTCCATTTTCATCAGGCAAAGGATTGCCATTAGAGAACTCTATGTCCTTTGCTGGAATCCAGGTATCTGGAACAGGCTTGAAATCCTCTTCAACATTCCAAACAAATTCTAGACATATAAATGTGACAGATTTTGGTAAACTGTTAGCCAATTTTACATTTTGATCACCTTTCAATGCAAGTATTAAAATACCATTGATCTAAACTTTGTTTTACAGACAGTTGTACTTTGTACAAGCACCAACATATGGCACACTCAAGCAGTCTACAATTGGGAGGGTTTAAAGCAGCATAGTAGCATTTAAATAGTTTAAAAGTTCAAAACTAAGATTAAAAAATACCTACCTAAATAGCCAACATTATATTTAAACTAAAAGTAGAATAGCATAGACCATTTCAGTTGGAAGGGACCTACAATGATAATTTAGTCCAACTGCCTGAACACTTCAGGGCTGACCAAAAGTTAAAGCATGTTGTTAAGGGCATTGTCCAAATGCCTCTTAAACACTGACAGGCTTGGGGCATCGACCACCTCTCCAGAAGCCTGTTCCAGTGTTTGACCACCCTCTTGGCAAAGAAATGCTTCCTAATGTCCAGTCTAAACCTTCTCTGGTGCAGCTTTGAACCATTTGCACATGTCATGTTGCTGGATACCAGGGAAAAAAAGATCAGCACCTCCCTCTCCACATCCCCTCCTCAGGAAGCTGCAGAGAGTACATGTGAGGTTGCCCCTCAGTCTCCTTCTCTCCAAACTAGACAAGCCCACACTCCTTAGCCACTCCTTAAAGGACATGCCTTCCAGTCCTGTCACCAGCTTTGTTGCCCTCCTCTGGATGCATTCAAGGACCTTCACATCATTCCTAAATTGTGGGCCCCAGCACCGCACACAGCACTCCAGGGGAGGCCGCACCAACGCTGAGTACAGCGGGATGATCACCTCACTTGCCCGGCTGGTTCGGCTGTGTTCGATGCACCCCAGGACGGGGTTTGCCCTCTCGGCTGCCAGAGCACGCTGCTGGCTCATACGGAGCCTGCTGTCGGCCAGCACCCCCAGATCCCTTTCTGCAGGGTTGCTTCCAGCCACTCCTCTCCCAAGTTATACTTGTGCCCAGTGTTACTCCATCCTAGGTGCAGAATCCAGCATTTTGACATTCATCCCCTTAATCACTGCCCAGTGCTCCAATCTATCCAGATCCATCTGCAAGGTTTCTTGTCCCTCAAGAGAGTTAACAGCACCTTCCAGTTTGGTATCATCAGCAAACTTGCCCATGGTGCATTCGACTCCCACATCCAGATCATTGATAAATATATTGAACAGAACTGGCCCCAGAATTGAGCCCTGAGGGAACACGGCTGGTGACCGGTCGCCAGGCAGCTGTAGCCCCATTCAGAACCCTTTGAGCCCTACCCTTCAGCCAGTTCTTCACCCAGTGCACCACGAACCCACTCATCCCACAGTTGGACAACTTGTCCAGAAGGGTGCTGTGAGGGTCAGTATCAAAAGACTTACTTAAAGTCCAGAAAAACTACATCCACTGCCTTCCCTTCATCCACTAGGCAGGTGACCTTACTGTAAAAGGATATCAAATTAATTAAACAGGACTTTGTGAACCCATGCTGACTGTACCTGATGACTGCATTATTCTTTAAATGCCTGTCAGTAGAAAACAGTATAATCTTGTCCATAATTTTTCCAGGAACTGAGGTTAGACTAACAGGTCTGTAGTTCCCCAGGTCTTCCCTCATGCCCTTCTTGTAGGCTGCAATAACACTGGCTGGCTTCTAGTCAGTGGGGACCTCTCCAGACTCCCAAGACCTTTGGTAGATGACCAAGGGGGGGTCCTGCCAGAAGACCCACTAGCTCCTTCAGTACTCTGGTCTGAATCCCATCAGGCCCCATGGACTTGTGAACGATCAGCTGATGCAGCTGGTCCCTTACAATTCCAGTGTCCACAAATGGAAAGTTGCTGTTCCCACACTTGTGGTCCTCTAACTCAGGGGACCAGGCAGCCAAAGATCTGTCAGTATTATTAAAGACTGAGGCAAAACACACATTGAATGCCTCTGCTTTTTCTTCAACCCTACCAGTCAGATGACCATCTACAACAAGTATCAGTCCAATGTTTTCTTTAGACCCCCTCTTGCTATTAACACACTTAAATATCCCTTCTTGAAACAGCAATGGCCAGTTTCAAGTCTAATTGAGCTTTGGCCTTTTGTGTCTTCTCCCTGCATATATGAACCACAGCTCTGTAATCTTCCCGCAAAGCCTGTCCTTGTTTCCAGAGATCATACCATTTCTTTTTTCCTCTTGAGCTCCACGAGGAGTTCCCTGTTCAGCCAAGGTGGTTTTCTGCCCTGCTTGCTTGACTTAGGACACAGTGGAATTGCCTGCTCCTGTGCTTCTAAGGAGTGGTTCTTAAACCCTGGCCAGCACCTGCAGACTCTTAAGCCCTGAAAAGCAGATTCCCAGGGTACTCTGCTAAATAACTCCCTGAATAGCTTAAAGTTTACTCTGCTGAAGTACAGGGCAGCAACTCTGCTGTCCTTTTTTGTCATTACACTAAAAATGTTAAGCTTAAGCATTTCATGATCACTGTGGCCAAGACAGCCACCTACCATCACCACCACCCCTCCCAAGTCCTCTGTTCACAAACAGCAAGTCTAGGAGGGCATCTTTCCTAGTTGGCTCACTGAGTACCTGGGAGAAGTTGTTATCCTCTCTTACAAACTTCAAGAATTTCCAAGACCTGCTTATCACAGCAGTATGATATTCCCAGTTGGTGCCTGGGAAGTTGAAAACTCCCGTAAGGACAAGGGCTACCAATCCAGAAATTTCTCCTAACTTCCTATGGAATCACTCATCAGTGCTTACATCCTGGCTGGGTGATTGGTAGTAGACACCCACTACAGTAACTCCTTTGCTTTCCATTGCCCTAATCCTTTATCCAGAGGCTCTCAACTACATCATCACTAACTGTTAAGGGCTGTGCAATCAAACCTCTTCTTTACATACAGTGCAACACCTCCACCTCCCCTGCCCTGCCCATCCCTCCTGAACAGCCTGTAGCCCTCCATCCCAGCACTCCAGTCGTGGGACTTGTTCCACCCAGTCTCACTAGTACCAATGATATCGTAGCTCTGAAACTGGCCAAGGCTTTCAGTTCATCCTGTTTATTTCTCATACTGCGTGTGCTGATGTACAAGAACTTTGGAGCCCTCTGTGCTGCCAGGAGCAGTGTAAATGTTCCCACTAGCATTGCCACCCTCTGGCAATGCCACGCCAACCCTTGGCTTACCTACTGCAATCCTGTGGTATCCCCTTCCTCCATCGATTCTAGTTTAAAGCTGTCTCTGAAGTAAATTTAAGAGTAACATTAAAAAAATTGGTGCAGGATCACTGACACTTTATGTGTTAAACAAGAGGTGTTTTTCCAACTGGGTAACTTACATTGCCAAAAAGAAGGAAAGAAATCTTCACTAACCTTTGCAGTCTTCCAATGAATACAAGAATCGTTTAAACCTTTTTTCAGCTTGCTTGTTGGGTTTTCGATCCAGCCTGGCCCACAGATAGGGTTGCCCTAGAGTTGCCAGAGGGATAAAGCCAGCCATTTACTGAGGTAACCACACCTTGCAGAGTACTGAGATCAGCTATACACAAGGCAAGACAAGAATTCTCATCTGCCACCAGAGAAAGTTTATATCCAAACACATTCTTCACATTCATAAATTAATTAGAATCATAGAATGCTGTGGGTCGGAAGGGACCTTTACAGGTCATCTAGCCCAAGCTCCCTGCAGTGAGCAGGGACACCTTCAAGCAGATCAGATTGCTCAGAGCCCCATCCAAGCTGGCCTTGAATGTTTTCAGGCATGGGGCCTCCACTGCTTCTCTGGGCAACCCATTCCAGTGTTTCACCACTCTCATAGTAAAAAAATTTCTTTCTTATATCTAGTCTAAGGCCACCCTCCTTTAGTTTAAAACCATTACCCCTTGTCTTGTCACAGCAGGCCTTGCTAAAAAGGTTGTCTCCATCTTTCCTACAGACCCCCCTTTAAGTTCTGAAAGGCCACGATAAGGTCTCCCTGCAGGCTTCTCTTCTCCAGGCTGAAGAACTCCAACTAATTACTGTATATGAAATCTAAAAACCTAGCTGTAGAATCTTGCCTAGTTTAACACCAAGTTTCCTTATAATTTCAGGTACAGGCAAGAACCCCACTGATGCCACAAGCCACAGTCTTCTCATTTCCTCCCAACCTCCATACCTCTTTTTAATCCTCCCCAAGGAAATCAGACACCTGCTCTTATATGAATTCCCGTGTCCCAGGAAGATTTACGAAGAAGAGACTTTAAAACTGAATACTTACTTGATTGGCATGTTCACTAAAACTTTACTTCATGTATTTTTTGAGAGTAAAATTTATAACAACTTTATAAACACCTACTACATTTATGATAACTACTATTGGATGTTTAACGAGAGTGGAATTCACAACAGCTGTAATCCAATACATCAGACAATGAAAGTGAAAGCAAAGTAAAACACGGCTTTTAGTCAGCATGAGAAATCTGCATATGGATCTTCCTCATTACCTTTATAGGAGGTTACATAACAGCAGGTTCCATCCACCTTTTCAGTAGGAATTGCACTGTATACGTCTGCCTCTAACGCCTTTCCAGTTATAGTTTCAGTTGCCAGAACTTTAAATGGCTGAAAAGAAGACAGACATTTTAAACCCTCAGCATGGCTCTGTTACTGCCCTATTCCCTCCCCTACAGATTCTTGTTCCTTACAGCTGGCCTCTGTCAGTCCAGTATTCCACATCCTACTGCTGATTTCTAATACCGTTGAAATACACCCTTGTTTCTTCAAGGCATGACAGTCTGGAAAATGCTCTAAGACAAAAGAGCAAAGGCAATCTATTTGCAAACTCTGGCCCTCTTTTCCATTCCTGATTACTGTTTCAAGATGACTCGGCCTTCCACTTTACATAGAGCACAGAAGCTAGAAGGATTCCAGTCCAACTCTACAAAATGTCGAGATGTGCCTCACTGTATTAGGATGGCAACAGGAGCTCCTCATGACTAGCTGCTCCGAGCTCTCAGTTTGCAGCTGAAAGCAAAATCCAGAAAGTCACCCAGACAGATTCGAGTTCACTGTGCAGCCCACAGACAGCTGTAGGTGCTGCTAAGATCGGGAAACACAAGTTGGAGGTCTACAGCTGGACAGATGAATGCCACCCCACCCTGTCCCGACGCCGCCTCAGACATCTCAGCAAGAAATAACTCTGGCTGGGCTCCATTACTTGGTCACCTTGGGAAGTATTGCATGCCTTACAGCCTCGAATGAATTATTCTGACATAAGCCTGGCACTCCTTTGATCACAAAAAAAGAAAAAAGAAAAAAAAGAGAGACAAGCTTAGTTTTCCCCACGAGGCTCAGAAGGCAGAGCTTGCAGGATGGCTTTACACAAGCTCCCACTGCCGTCACGTTGGAGGGGCCTCATTCCTCACCACCACTGGTCCCTACCCTTACCAAAAGCAACCACAGCATCAGGGCGAACTCCTGGACGCACCGGTCAGGAAGAGAGCAGCACAGAGCTGAAAGCCCACCCGAACGACCTTTCTTTCTCGCGTCTGAGGCGCGGAGCCCTGCGGAAACCTACACCGGGCATTCGGCTCCACACCTGCGGCGAAACCTCTCG